GTTTTGCAAAAATGCAAACATTTAGTTTAAAACTACAAAGGTGCCACGTAAACAAAGCTATGGGACTTTACCTTGTAGATAACTTCACTAAGTTGCATGACAAACATCTCTAATCCAGCATCGAATAGCAGTTTATTGTCACCTTTTAGTGACATCTTATTTCATCTTTTGGTCCAGAATGCTATGAATTACAGATTTGTACACGAGCAGAAAGGGCAAAACTCACTGGAAAATTTGGGCCCGTTTCTGATGCTGTACATGTATATTGCGCTGTTCATGAATAAGAGCCATTTAATTGAAAATAATCATTGAAGTCTTTAAATTGGCAACGCAGAGCGAAATTTATAATCACTATCTTCATGTACAAATTTGCAAATTTCTTGTTGAGTTTTCATTCCCGCTATTTCATTTAATACAAATTATTTTGGGGGTGGAAAATTATACAAGTAAATGTTGCCAATTTGAAGAGGAAAAGCTGATTTATTTAGAGCTTAAGAAAACTCTGAACTAATAAACATGTTTGTGTCAATCTAGTTCATGAAATATGAACTGGGTTATCTCTTATCACAGACAATACATAAGATAGAGTGTGACATTTGAAAGAAACCTGACAGCGTCAGTTACAACCCCAGTATAAAATGATGAATGATGACGTACATTAGAATGATACCGGTACTCTATCTCCGTTAAAGATCATGAATCGATGCACTCTTCCCCTCCCTGATGTTTACAATATTACAACTCTCTCTCTCTCTTTCTCTATCACTCCCTCCCTCCCCTCTCTCTCCGTCTCGCTCTCTATACGGAGTCAAAGTCATGTCTGGAGGAAACTGTAGTACTAAAGGGAGTTTACATGTACAGATACAATCTGCGCATGGGCAGATAAAGGTCATTTGTACCGAAATGGTAAAACCCAGAGATGAATACTGGATATGCGCTCATGAAAGTTATGTAACATTATTCATTTATGCACCACTGGTACATTCTATGATACGCAGGTGGAAGTATTCTTTTCAAGAGGTCAAACAAAAGGTATTCATGAAGCACATCTAGGACTTTGGTAGTTATTATTCTAAGATGCTCAAAGTGGAACTTCTCCATGTGTAAAAGATCTGTGGATATTTGGGGTAATTTGTACCATGTGCTATCTGTAAACTCCCTTTTTATGTGGTGGTGCTAACCAACTTTATGTAAATCCCATTAGTACATGACATGCAAATTACATTTGAAATTACATTTGAAGAGGAAGCAATATCAATCTCTGACCACCAAGCGTACCCACATTTCCCCAGTTTTGCAGTCGCTACACTGGCTCCCAGTAAAAGATCGCATTGTTTTCAAAATTTTGTTGCTCACCTTTCATTGCGTTCACGGCTCTGCTCCTCAATACCTTATCTCTCTAATCCAAAACTACACTCCTGCAAGACCTCTACGCTCATCCACTTCCAATTTTCTTGTAACCCCCAAAATTACCAAAACGTGGGGGGAAAGATCTTTTGCATACTCTAGTCCTAAATTATGGAATGGCCTTCCTGAAGACATCAAAAAATGTTTATCCTCTGATTCTTTCAAAACTCATCTCAAAACATTTCTTTTCAAGTCTTGATCTTTTTTCCTGTTTACACGCACCTTGAGCACTCCACAGAGTGGATTTGGCGCGATATAAGTTACATTATTATTATTATTATTAACACAAGAACATCATATTTGAGTTTCAGAGATCTTGTTCAATACCTTGTAATATACAATGCTGAGAACAAGCATAGAATGACTAGGGGCCAAATTATGCATTTTCTACTCAAGAGCTTATAAACAACAACAAAAGAAGAAAATGTCTATACTTTTTATGTTAAAATGATAGACAGGGTGTCCCCTAATAAATAGGCAGGACAGAAGAACAGAAAATGTTGTGCAATTGATAACAAAAGAGAGCATGTGCAGACAGAAATCTTCATGTACAGTATACAAGTAAATCTTGGAAAAAATAAACTGAGATGGTAAGATAAAGAATGTTTCAGAATCCTCTAAATAACAGGTACATGCATTTCGTTATAAATTTACCTCCATTTCTCCATAAATCTAGTTTCCATCGGAAGCTGCGCATGCAATAGTACTGATTCTTCCTAATGAGGTACCTTGGCAATTTGCGAGCAAATATGTGGTGCATTATTAAGCTTTACACACAGAGGAATGGCATTTTCGACAATCGTAACATTTTAAAGTCATTAGCAGGCTTTCTAGCGGCGACATCAAACAGCCCCAATCAAGGGCAAACCAGGTGGTGACCTCATCAGCGACCCCTAATTCCTCCTGGTAAAATAATTGGCTAATTTCTGACGACTTTTTGATGATTACTGGCGGGACGCACCCGAGCTATTCCAGACTGCGTAATCAGGTAAGTTTCTTGATGGGTTTTTAACGATTATTGGCGGGGGAGGGGGATGCAACGAAGCGAACATACACCAGACTTCCTAATCAGATGGACTATTAAAACAAAATTATGGTGTATTAACAATGATTATTGATGGGGGTGGGGGAGGCAACGCATGAGACAAACATGTTCTCGACATCATGACCGTAATGTCCGACAACACATGGATTACGAAGGTGTTGTACGCACTACGCAGACCGAGTTCTAAATCTAATTAGTCCAAAATCAGATTGCAATAAATCTAGCCATCAAGGAGTCATTGTGCTGTAACTCGTTCTAGAATTGAATCTAACGATGCAATGATTTTGGATGGATTCCTTGAAAATCACTTTGGGCGCAGCGCATGCAGACGGATAGTGCAGAAGAGTTGAATACATGTACATGTATGTTTCTAATTTAGATCTATCATTACAGAGATAGGGTTTATTAATCTCTAAATCATACTATGGTACATGTACATGTAATTATGGACATTTACTTGGGATGCAATCACAAAGACCCAGGAAATTAACTCAAGGACAATTTCAACATCCTATTATCGCACAGAAATCACAGTTAGATTATCATTTAATATGAATTACATAATTTCGAAGGTTGCACATACATGGACAAGGGTAGTGAAATGGCCCTAGTTGATATTTCAAAAGTCTCTGCAATCTTGTTTTGGTAAAGTCTTAAAAAGTAATGAATTAAAACTAAATAATGCTGGTTGAGTATATTTCTTTTATCCCAGCATTCTAATTTAAGTAAACTGCTCTGGAAATCACTTTGACTCTTTCTAACGATTTTGCTGAAAACAGCTTGCTACTTTTTCATGAAAATTTCCAACATAAGACATTGGAAAAATACTAATTGAAATCCAATTTTTACCACTAACGGTAAACTAAATTTAATGTCCAAACTAGAAAAGTTCATTTTCCTTTCCTTTCTCTATCTTTCACTCTCTCTTATCTGTCTCCCCTTCTCCCCCAACCTCCTCTCTCTCTCTCTCTTCTTATCTGTCTCCCCTCCCTATCTCTATTTCTTTCACTTTCTACATGTATGTCTGTCTGTATGTCTCTCTCTCTCTCTCTCTCTCACTCACTAAGTATTATCCCCTCACTTTCTCTTTCCCTCCGTCACTATATATCTCTTGTCACTTGTGAATGAATAACTAAGCTCTTCCTGTCATCATTGTCTATGGATTTACGATGCAGACAAAATAAAAAAGATGCCTTTTATACCCTGTAAATAGTTTACGACCCTTTCCCTCATTTCCTGGGCAATAAAGAACAGTTGTTATTGGCTAATATTCCATGGGGAGAGGGAGACAGCCAGACACATGAATGTCATTTTTAATGCATTATAGTACCACCAACAGACATGAGCATTGTAAAGCAAACTACACAATAATAGCAGTCTGCACCACAATTCGTCAATAGAGGGAGATATTCTATTTTAGAGTATGGAAGCATTGACGGTTATGAGCTGTGGGAGCAGCATTGTGATGAACAGAACTAAGGGTATGTTTATGCTCAACTTTTTCTGGCCAGAATCAGGCATCTGTTACGCGTAAGGTTCAAAACACGGTTGCGTCCTTTCTCACTCTTGTAGAATCACTGAAAAACGGTGATCATGATCACCAATCGTAAACTCACAAAAAGGTGCGTTTACAATTTGTAAATGCGTTTAAATGGGGTCAACGCACTGACCTCTAGTGGGTCTACGTAGCATGCACAGTCATCAGTGCAGGTTTGCAAATCCAGCTGCAAGGCCAATTGAGGCCACCCAGCGAGAATTGCCTGGAGGAGCCAGAGAAGTGAGCATAAACAGTACACCGTGGAACTGCGATTACGATGAGCGTTTACAATGTGCGTTTCAAATCGCTCATTCTGCCTTCAAAATTGAGCTTAAACGCACCCTGAGTCATCTACACAGTTGCCCATAAAGCCCGGAATAAACTTTTCTTACTTTTGTTCATGAAATGATTGTGACAGTACGATTTATTCTTGATAGATCAATTTACATGTATATCTTCTCATGATATTATAGATCAATCTCTATAATTACTCTTAAAGCTTATCAACACTAGAGTGGCTAGGAGGGATTAGACCACACAGCGAGGTCACTGACAGGTGGCTATCTCATCAATTCAGCTCTCAAATAACATAAGAAATAGAGGATCATGGGGGACCAACAGGCACCGATTGGGGAAGTTTTCTATATAGAGGGAGCAAGCAGCTACAAGTAGGGCAGTGGGGCTTTAAGAGAGATCCATAGAGTTCTGATAAGATACACTGTATCAACTTTACCGATCAGGAATAAATCACATTGTCACAATCATTTCACAAAAAGAGTTCAGAAAAAAAATTCCAACTTAATAGGCAACAGTGTATACATATACATGTATCTTCATAAAATAAACAAAATCTGGCATACTCTGTCACAGTGAGCAGCAGTATACCCTAAAACCATAAATATCCACAACAAAACACTTACAGCAAACGAATAGCAGTCTTTTTAGACTGATGTGAGTTTTACCAAGATTAAAAAAAATTCCATGAAAAATAAAATGCAGTTATAAACTTACCTCCTCTACCTGGACCACCACGACCCCTTCCGCGACCTCCACCTCCACGGCCGCGACCTTTGGATACGACCTCTTCCTTGACCATGTCTATGACCTCGTCCGGTATCCTGAGGTATTTGATGGTGCTTCCCCTGATGTAGCACTCGGGCATCCTCCAGAACCGGTCACCGTCCTGAGTTCAAAGGTCACAAAGTTCAGTTTACATTTCAGATTTTCAGGCTAACATAAGTATAATGCACTTGTCATTTGTAAGATGCACCTCTTGACCCCCGGGAATGGTGCGTCATTGTACCGATGTGAGTCGTACATTTTGATACCATGACGCACCTTCCGTCACAGAAAGTGACACACCATTACATTCCATCGACGCACATTTGAGTCAAACATATGACACACCATTTCATGAAAATGACTAGCCAATGACGCACATTTGAGAAACACTTCTGCTTGGAGAAAGTGACGGTCCCATTGACACACCAAATGACGCAACGTGGTAAAGTGACTTACTATGACGCACATATGGGTCAGTATTGTGACGGACATTTTGCGGCCATGACGGTACTGTGCGTCGCGATTTTGGGGAACATGACGCAACCATGATGCACCATCCCCGGGGGTCAAAAGGTGCGTCTTACAAATGACACCTGCATAATTCAATTCAATTCAATTCAAGGTTTATTAAAAACATGAGTTGCAGCCCAATGGCTGAAGTGGTCATGTGTACAATTAAAAGACTCATATCATTACATATTTCAAACATAACAGTAAAAAAGTATAAGTATATAATTTATTGTCCATATCAGGAAATTCGAAATTTCACTGAATCACTGGTATAGGTACAAGAAGTACAATATAAACACAAATATGATGTAAAAGGTTATTTGATGTAACATTTCAAGCAAATGATTTCGATCAAATATAAGTGGGCTTTTTAGATAGAAATGAGGAGAAATCTTATTGCCTCTTATTTAGTGGGTCCCAGTTAGTGTCAAGCCCTGTATAATACATCTCATAACAGTACGAATGACTTATCATAGGTTTATACTGTGAGTGTTTGTTTGTGTATCTTGTGTGTGTGTGTGTGTTTTTGTGTTTGTTTGTTCATAGAAAGGAGATCTCTCACCCTTGATGTGCAGATGACTTCTCTGAGATTGATATTCATCCAGTTATCACATGCAACAAGATGGCCATTGTATGTCTCCCCGTTCTTCAGTTCCACCAGCTACAGACAAATTAAAGACAATATAATTAGAGAGAAGCAGGAGCAGAAAAGGAAAATATTGTAATTGTAGATCCTAATTGTGACTTATAAAGTGCAATTGTGCATTTGGCAAGACATTGATCTGCATTTGCCACACTCAACCCACGTGATGTAAATGGGTACCTGGCAGGAATTAATTCCTTGAAATGCTAGAGCGCCGTAATGGCAGCCGTGCTAAAGCCAGGGTAATAATCAGGAGCGCCAGGAGTGTCAAGTCTGACAGGCATGAGCGCTATACAAGAACCCACTATTATTATTATTATTATTGTGATTTATAACAACAACACTAATAACAATAATAACAATAATAGTAGTAGTAGTAGTCGTCATCGTCGTAGTCATTGTTCATGTAGATGAACATGAAATAGATTTATTGCATAATTTAATCAAACTATAATGCATACATCTTTGTTAACTGCCACGTTACAAATTATTTCGTTCACCTGTTACAAGTAGTTGTAATTCAATAGTCAGAATGCGAATTGCCTACTTTCCGTGTTGTTATGTAGGACAAGCCATAATGTTCGTCATACATGGCAACATAAGCAATCTGCATTTTGATTATTGAAACACATTTATTTGTGACAGGTGAATGAAATAATTTGTATTATTACCCGTATCAGACATCTGAGCTGGTCATTTACAAAACCGTATTGCCCTAGTTTTCACTAGCAGTGGGAACTGAGGGGTATATTCTTTGTATTTTCCTTGGTCTCCCTGCGCGTATTGACTTTGCGTGTAGAGACGAGTGAAAATATACCTTGGTATTTTCCACGGTCTCGCATTTTCATTGCGCATCTATTAATATTATGCGTACGAGGACCTGCGCACTTTGCGCGCACTGTATTGTGACGTAATAATCAAACCAAATACACACTGTTTGTAGTGTATCAAAAATTTTGTCAAGCACTGGATGCAAAGTGTTGGTTTGACAAAGTTTGTTCAGTTCTTGAGATTGTCATGGTGGATGTCTGTATTTGCTCTAGATGTCTGATTTGGATAACAATAAAAATATTTACTGGCTTTACTTTCGGGGGATATCAGAAATATTGACCGCGCTAAGACCATATTGCCCTCGTCTTTCGACTCGGGGCAATATGATCTGAGCTTGGTCAATATTTCTGATATACCCCTCAAGGCCAGTCAATATTATATAAACGTAGCACTCAGCAAATATTTGTGAATGGAATATGATTACATTACGGAAATGGTCTATTGCATGGAGAAGAAACTTACCATAGGGTGGTTCTGAGCGGTTCTAAGCAGAGATAGAGGCAACTGTCAAAGAGAAATCAAGAGAAGAAAAATCATTTAATAGCATGTAATGAATGAAGAGTTGGAATATGGATTGATCATAGTAAACTTCATCTGAAATCTTAGGCCATATTTTGTGTATTTTATGACAATAGTGATTAGTTTAGTGAACTTGGGGCCCGGCCCCCCCACTCAGAGGTCGGAATGACCGCATGCGTGTTGCCAAAATGTCCGGTAAAGGGGTACTTTTCGTGCGACAAAGTCCGGCCCGAGAATTGTAAAAAAAGGGGTGTATTTGACTTTTCACCCGGAGATTTCTTTAAAAAGGGGGTGTTTTTCTTTTTTTCTCTCATCTCTTTGGACTCCTGAGAAATTATTCTGAATTTAGGGGGGTACATTGAGCATTTTTCCTGATTTAGGGGGGTCTCCAAGGCAGGAAAAGCACGCGAAAAGCCCGCGAAAGGGGGGTTCGGAAATGTTGGCAGTCCTCAGATAGGGGGTGCTTTCAAAAAAAGGGTACGAGCATATGCGTACCCTAAATAACACTGAGTGGGGGGGCCGGGACTTGGGGGCATGCAGGGAGTTTTTCCTGAATTTAGCGATGTTCACTCCTACAATGCAAGAGCTCAGACCCTAAACGGAATGGACCTCCTGTACATGTACAAAACTAATGGAAATATTAAAATACTTAATTTGAAATATAATACTCTAAAATCATACTGGTACAATTTTGATCCAATTATTCCGAGCTTGATCCAATTCCAATTTCAAAATCATCATAATCATGATGTATGAAAACCGAAGAAATGGCCACAAATTGTTCCAACAAGTAGGATCTAGGGGCGTTGGTGCAAGAATAAGGATCTTCCTCATGAACGAGGATATCCTCATAAACACGGACAAATCGCGTCCTAAAAAACAAGATTCGTCCGCATTTTCAGAGACTTTTTTTTCCTTCTGCGCTCTGTGGATATTGGTAGGGTGTCTGAACGATTTTTCAATTTTCAATTTAGGATCGTTTTTCACCATTTTTGTTTGATATTTGAATAAAAAATGTTATCAGAATAATACATTTCAAATTTCAAGTCTCACCGATGTTTCTATCAAAAGTTACAGCCCCTCCAAAACGCTGGTATATTCATATCAATTGGGTCAAAATCGACGAAATAGACGTCCACGCAGAGTGATGTTGTTTTGCTAAATTCAGACAAACAGCTGTATCGCGCGATATGCAAGCGTATGCATATAGTACGCATGTTGCTAAGCCAATGCGCGACTTGCGCGACTTGAGCCACGCTGTCTCCGCGATATGTGCCATTGACTAGTATGGTTGGCAATTCCCGCCGTAGAACCCGGAAGTGAATACATGTTGTAGTCAATGCGATATTGCCATTGACTATAACGTGTATTCACTTCCGGGTTTATCGAGGGAATTGCCAACCATAATTTCAGTCACTATAATGTGTAATTGAATTTGGGGTTTCGTTCGTGTGCGGAGATGTTACGCGATGTAACCATGGTTGGACTGAGCGGAGCGCACGCCCCCTAATTAACTGATCCACCAAATAGCGAGAAGGGTATTTTTAAACTGTTATCAGTTGTGATCCCTGGGGGCTAGCGAAAATATAATCACATAGAATTGTTCCTTAGGACTGGGACTACTTATCGATCGGGGCGTCATATCTCAAAAGTGACAAACCTCAGAGTTAGCCAGGACACAATGTTTAAATTGCTGTTTTGACCAAGATATTTTTAGAATTTCGGGGGCTACGCCCCTTTGTAAATATTGGAATTCACCTGCTCTTTCATATGACACCTCATTCATTGATTATCACCTTTAGGATCACAACAGATAAAGGTTTGAATCTCGATTTGAAAAAAAAAAATTGACTTTTTTTGCATGGTCGCGCAATGCACGTAGGCTGCATAGGGATGCGTGTAATCTCTAAGGGAAGAATTTTAGCACACAACATAGAGATTACACGCATCCCTATGCAGCCTACGTGCATTGCGCGACCATGCAAAAAAAGTCAATTTTTTTTTTTTCAAATCGAGATTCAAACCTTTATCTGTTGTGATCCTGAAGGTGATAAGACACCCTAATATTGGGTTCCCGATCCGGGCGCTGGCAATACAAAAAACAGATTCCACGTAATGAAATACCCCCAGTTCACCATCTTCTTTTATGGGTTTTCTGTCTTCCCGAAGATTTATCGTTCATAATGTGAAAGTCAATCAACTAAGGACCATCATCGCGGATCCGTTTTTCACATCGCCAACGCGCGGATCGGAAATCGTGGGCGAAAATACTTCTGTCTGCATTTACAAAGACGATCCTTGTTTATGCGGACGATCGGATCCTTATTCTCAGCGCCCCTACTATACTGCTAAGTGCTAACTGACATGTGCCGTTATTATTCAAAATAATCACCTTAGGCTTAGATCTAGATGTAGACCGAATTTTCCGTCTCTTTCGTTCGTTAGCCTCTTATTGGGGTAGGGTCGGCCGGCTCTCTCTTTAGAGACGGAAACCGTCTATACACATTCCCTTGATAACGCCACGGCCATTTCAGGTCGTAGCGTTTTGCCCCCAAAATCCCCCAAAATGTCATTTTACCTCGTGCATGTTATATTGTAAATTAGGCCTAGAGTAAAGGAGCCCGTTTTCGGCCACTTAAGACAAAATCCTATTTTTAGGACTCTTTACTTCCTATTTATTATCATTTCTTGTTCAAATCATGAAGCAAATATTATTATTATTTAAACAAAAAAAGAATCCCAGAAAAAAATCACGAATTGCCATGACAATATTCATTTCAATTTTCACTGTTTTGGAGCCAGTTATCGGCCGAGCGTTTCAGTTTACGGCCGCATGTACAAAGTCAATAGGAAGCGCTCGCGCGCGCCGTGCGTTTCCGCGCTGATGTACAGCACAAGCGGGCGGAGCAGGTATCCCACACCGGAGCTCCCTGGTGCTCGCCTGGCCGAAGACAGGCACAGCGGTGATCGGAAGTTGGAATCTGAATTAGACAGAGATATCGTGTGTGCGTCGCGGTGTGCTGCTGCATTGATTTAATACATGCGATGAGATACTTTTGAGCTTGCGACTAGCACAAAATCGGGCTCTAAATCTGAAAAATACTTGAAATAAAGCTCATTTTATGGTACCCATATTTCTTACAGACACGCTTAAGATACTCGATTTTTCAGATTTGGGTAGCGGGACCGGCGATTACATCGCTAAAATGTGATATTTTAGGATATATTTTCCATTGCAAATGTGGTTCTTCAGTGACACTGGCATGGTATGGTATGTGTGGGATATGTGTTATGCTATTATGCGATGTATTTTAGAGTGATTTTACCTTGCATCCAACCAATCAGCCGAAAACTGGAGCTGGCCGATTACCGGCTCCTTTACTCTAGGCTATAATAATTCAGTTCCACTTACCAACTTGACTGAAATAATCCGTTTAATGGTCCCTTTTAAGGAAATTATGGGTCAAAATCGACATCCATGTTGAAAATCTTGCAAGCCGTGTTAAACTCTTGCTGCCGGAGTCCTCTAAATCAATCTCATCCCTTCTAAGTTCTAGTCTACGCCGAAGGCAAAATGATTATGAAGGAAAAACTGTGCGCCATCTACACGTTCGTAATGGCGTTATCACAGTTTTTCCTTCATAATCATTTTGCCTTCGGCGTAGACTAGAAGGGATGAGATTGATTTAGATGACTCCGGCAGCAAGAGTTTAACACGGCTTGCAAGATTTTCAACATGGATGTCGATTTTGACCCATAATTTCCTTAAAAGGGACTATTAAACGGATTATTTCAGTCAAGTTGGTAAGTGGAACTGAATTATTATAGCCTAGGCCTAATTTACAATATAACATGCACGAGGTAAAATGACATTTTGGGGGATTTTGGGGGCAAAACGCTACGACCTGAAATGGCCGTGGCCTTATCAAGGGAATGTGTATAGACGGTTTCCGTCTCTAAAGAGAGAGCCGGCCGACCCTACCCCAATAAGAGGCTAACGAACGAAAGAGACGGAAAATTCGGTCTAATCTAGATGTAGACCGAATTTTCCGTCTCTTTCGTTCGTTAGCCTCTTATTGGGGTAGGGTCGGCCGGCTCTCTCTTTAGAGACGGAAACCGTCTATACACATTCCCTTGATAACGCCACGGCCATTTCAGGTCGTAGCGTTTTGCCCCCAAAATCCCCCAAAATGTCATTTTACCTCGTGCATTTTATATTGTAAATTAGGCCTAGGCTATAATAAATCAGTTCCACTTACCAACTTGACTGAAATAATCAGTTTAATAGTCCCTTTTTAGGAAATTATGGGTCAAATTCGAAATCCATTTTGAAAATCTTTTTCAACATGGATTTCCATCTTGACCCATAAATTCCTAAAAAGGGACTATTAAACTGATTTTTTCAGTCAAGTTGGTAAGTGGAACTGATTTATTATAGCCTAGGCCTAATTTACAATATAAAATGCACGAGGTAAAATGACATTTTGGGGGATTTTGGGGGCAAAACGCTACGACCTGAAATGGCCGTGGCGTTATCAAGGGAATGTGTATAGACGGTTTCCGTCTCTAAAGAGAGAGCCGACCCTACCCCAATAAGAGGCTAACGAACGAAAGAGACGGAAAATTCGGTCTAATCTAGATGTAGATGCACTCGACTCGGCAATCGGCGCCACAGCCTAGCGCCCAGCGGCCGTAACAGTGAAACGACGGGAGCCTATCGGCTCTACTGTACGCCAGTAAACCGTTCAGCAGCGTGCCGTGAGGGGCAGAAGTTTGCGCGGCAAACAATTCAGATGTTACCCAAAATAGCTGTTTTTTGTTCAGTATATTACGGCTTAACATGAAATATTACATCATTTAAATGTTTACAAGTATTCTCACCATTCCAATATCATGCAGTATACAGTCACAGATTCTTGAAAAAGAAGTGAGTGGAACGTGGATTCTGTCCTGACTTCGCAAGTTCGTTTACAACCTTAACCTCAAGCTAAATAGATATTATTCAAAGATTTTAGTTAGCCTTCATACCTTTAAAATTTGATTAAAATATTTATTAAAAACATATAACATAACAAATAATTTTTTAAAGACTCTATTGTAAATAATTTTGCCTGTATATTTCCGAATATAGATTATATTTTTACCTTTACTGAACGAGGAATTACGTTAGAAGGGAAATCACCGATGGCCGAGGCAGTGTCTCGCCCAATTGGGCTGGGTAAAATCTCTTCTTATATCTCCATGGTAAAATCTTCTCTCGCTGCCCTAACGTTGATTAAACCGGAGTTCAGTTGAACACTTGGCCTCAGAATACGGGTCAATGAGTGTGTGATGAGCATGTGAAGGCGGGGGGCGTAAATAGTGAAGGGGGCAACGAGAGAAAAGGGGGAATTTCTATTGCCTGTCAATATATATTTTAGAACCAAGGACAGGAATAGTTTTTGGTTATTACTTTGAAAATCCTTCATACATATGACTGAATGCTTATAGCACCTACCTCCGGAGGGGGCGGGGGAAATTGGTAGATTGGGGAGGGGTAGCCTATAGACCTGCAGAGGTGGATCATTTTGCAAAAGAATGGGCATATTGAAGACAAGAATGCACACTGTGAAAAGGTTGGGCAATTTTTTTCCCAAACACTTTGCCCATCAAGTTGTGCCAACCGTACATCTAAAGTAGGGTACTAGTACGTTAACCAATATCACTGGGCAAAATATTGCCCAAGGCAATAGATGGTTGGGTTGACTATATTGGCACAACGTTGGGCAAAGTGTTGTAAAAATATGATTCCATGACATTTGCTCCGGCGACAATTGCTCCGCTGTAAATTTCATACACTAATCGAATGGCTAACTTCAACCCTGGATTCAACACTATACCCTACCCTAAACCTAACCCTAAACCTAACATAAAACCCTATTGAAACCCTAACCCTAACCCTACATCTTAGACGAAATAAAGCCCGGAGCAATTGTCGCAGGAGCAAATGTCGTGTCACCAAAAATATTGCCCAACCTTTTCACAGTGCAAAACAAAACAAATCTAAACTCGTACCAGTTGAGTGCGTAACACCTTCCTGTGAGATTACATGCATAGTAATACTCAACTATTGAAATGGATCCCAGTTTCTGATAGATTGATTGATTGATTTTTATTCGCCAAGCTTCCAACATACAACATTATCGAGAATAACAGGTCAAAATTAAGTTAGCTTGAACAGGATAACCCACGAAAGCTCGAGAGCTCATATTTTCAAGTGGGGTCCCAGACATACATGTACACAATTAATAAGTTAAAATAGTAATATTTATATTTACAGACCGATAACCAAAAAACAAAAAAACAAATATTAAAGTTAATAGTGCTGATAATAATCATAACAACATTAAACTAATGATAGAAATTATAATAAGTACGAGAAGAAAAGAAGAAATAGAAGAAGAAAAAGAGGAGGAGGGGGAGGAGGATCAGAGGAAAGTAATGATGAATGATGAATAACGTACAAAAATATAATGTTATTCAAAAGGTCATTTTTTTTAAGTGCAATGCAAGCGCATGTTACTTAATTAAAGATGAAAAAGTGTAATTTGGTATGCTGCAATGCAGTTTCATGAATTTGAATTGAAATTTTGAGCGTCTTTATTAAAAGATGGTGCAAACTGCAACTTTTTTTCCAGGATACCCAGTCGTTGTGTGGCTGTCAATTGATTTAAAACGGTTATTTGAAAAAGTTTTCACGAAATGTTTCATAAATCTTAAAGACTTATATTACACAATATTATATAGGATATATTATAATTATGATGGTTAATGTTATTTGATGCATACATTTCGTTAAGTCCAAAGGCAAAAAGGGAAGACTTTATTTAAACAAAAAATAATCATAGAAGCGCTAATTACCATATCCCCCATCATAACATTTTCAAGTTCATTTCTTCAGACATAATAAATTGTTCAACCATTCAAATTTAACGTTTTTAAACCATACATTTATCGAATTCCCGAAATCGAGTTATATCAGTTCAAATGGTATTGGGGGGGGGGGGGGGGGGGGGGGGGGGGGGACTTACAGAGGAAATGTGTTCAAAGATCATCGTAGATACGGGCTTGTTAGCGGAAAATTTTGGCTAGAAAATTCATAGCGATAAGCCCAACAATTATACTCGTAGCGCCCACGTGGAGATCGAAACTTGCTAGCAGGTGCATGCAGAGTGCAGACTTTGGAGAGTGTGGGAAAAAAAATGTTGTTTCTTATCGGTTTGGGCCTTGGTGATGTGAAAGATGTTACAGTAAAAGGATTGGAAGCCATCAAAAATGCCAAACGTGTTTATTTAGAAGCCTACACATCCATCTTAACCGTAGGCAAAGATGCATTGGTAAGTCCCGATCGCGATCGTCAGCGCGGCCGAGCGCAGCGTAACGCTACGGCAACCTCGGCCAGGATGGCCCCGTAGCTAGACTTCTGCGATGGAGTGGCCACCCGCACTCGTAGTCGTACTCGGCCAATGTGTACAATCATTGAATTTGTACGTCATACAGTTAATCTTACGAATCTAATGATTTATGGGTTGACACCATAATCTTAAACTTGATATTTCGTTCTGTAGGGAGATATGAGAACTCAACTTCGTAATTCTTGTCTGTTGCCTTTTTTGGACTGAAAGTGAAAGACATTCATTTTCATAATTTGACATGGCATTTTCGGACATATTCAAGTCAAAATTTATGTCTAACTCTAACTCTAAGTCAACTGGGAGTGGGATGCCGTGAAAAAGGTCCATTAAAGGCATTATACATTGCAGCTCATTAACCTACAAAATATGAAAGTTTTGTACAAATAATGTCTAGATCTATTGACCATCTCTACTACTATAGTACAATAGCACTCTGACATTTTGACTATAGGGCTAATTAACGTCTCATTTCTACTTCAATATCAAATGTTAGATAAGATCAAGGAGTAGGAGATAGGCAAATTATTAATTTTTCTCCACTACGTCGTGTGCACTCTGTTTGTTATGACAGGAGCAGTATTATGGACGGGAGATCATTTTAGCCGACCGTGACCTGGTTGAACAAGGGTCAGATGAGATCTTTGAGGGTGCAAGGACGGAGGATATAGCATTCTTAGTTGTCGGCGATCCATTTGGGTAAGACCAATCATAGGTAGATTTAGTCTTTCAATTAGCAATGTGCTATTTATTGACCTTCCCGTTTTGGTTATTTTTTTTTTTTATTGGTTAGACTATGGAGAAAATAATTTAACCTACAAACTGTTTATTTAGCGAGGTTTGTGTAGAAGTTTGTAACATATTTTTTTCAAGTGTATACAATTATACACGTACTTGTACTTTTACATGGTGCATTCCATTTATTACACACAAAAATCAATGAAGTAAAATGAAGAAAAAAAGTAATAGCTATGATTTACAGCCAATCAAGGATTCCATGGAAGTTACCATCAATGCTAAGTTTAATGCAACAGGCCCTGGGGGGTGTTTCACAAAGATCGTTAAAGTCGAACAGGTATAGACCAGTTCTGGTCATGCGATTGCATTGTGAAAGAAACGTTGTGGAATCGATCAGAAAAGGTTGATCATTCAAGTATTCAAATATTTTAGACTTTTCATAAATTCCACATCAAGAAAATGAAATCTGCCATGATCATAGAAAATATGAATGATTTGAATCAACATTTTATGCCTTTTAAAATTACTTTTACAAAATATTTTCATTGATGCTAATGGCTTTCCATAATTGTTAAGTCCAACTTAGAGTTAAGTTCAACTTAGTATCTTTGTGAAACACTCCCCTGGTGTTTCACAAAATTGCCCCAACCCCATTGCTATGACCCATCTGTATCCTTTTGCAGAGCCACTACACACACAGACCTAGTTCTGAGAGCGAAGCAGGAAGGGATTGAGTACAAGGTTATCCACAATGCTTCCATCATGAATGCTATAGGTTGCTGTGGCTTACAGGTGAGTATTTGAACTTGGGACACTGGAAATATGCAGAGACAGGTGGCATTTTCCTAGTTTTTTTCTTCACCCATCTACATTGAAAACTTTTAAGCAATGGGTACTATAAAATAGCCCCATGACCGAAAAGGAGCCTCTCCATTATGGAAAGTAGCCTGTCTTGAAAAAAAAAGAAAAAATTATAACTACCAGGACATTTACAAAGCTGACGAGCTTATTTCATGAGTCGGCACGACGGGTAAAATATTCTCAAAACGAGTGTGATATACCATTGTGTCCCACTAAAGAAAAGCCATTCATTATTATTATTATTAATTGTATGAAGCCTAGTATCTCCAGCTCAATCCTAATGTTTTTTGTATTAATTTGCACATTACCGTAAGCACACAGATGAAAAAATTATTTTGTACTTACCCAAGTATTTTGCAAGGGATGCATGCAGACATCCATTGTCTTAGCCTGTGCATATATCAATGCATATTCACCTTTTTACGCGTTCATGTACTCCTAACAATGAGATATTGAAAATTTACTGCACAGTCATCCAGCTGACCCAGGAACTTTTTCGCAAACCATGGGATGTTAGAAATTTATTTCACAGTCAACCAAATACTTTTGCTAAATGCACAAGATATGCTGATTTTTGTGGTTGGCTCAAAACCCATTACACAAAAATAATAATTGCTATTTTTTATAATTGACAGCTCTACAACTATGGGGAGACCATCTCGATAGTGTTCTGGACCGACACCTGGAAACCAGATAGCTACTATGATAAGATAGCGTCTAACAGATCAAGAGGTCTTCACACGCTGTGCCTACTAGACATCAAAATGAAGGAGCAGAGTGTAGAAAACCTAATCAAGTGAGTACACTACTTTTTTCAGAGATATTATGGAGAAAATGTACAGTCAAACCTGCTTTAGTGACCTCCTGTCTACAAAGACCACATTTTGTCACTGTAGACAGGTTTGACTGTATCAGTTGAATTATATCCCACTCGTATGATTAATATTTTTATGCCTCCGTTACGAAGTAGCCGGAGGCATTATGTTTTCGGGTTGTCCGTCCGTCCGTCCGTCCGTCCGTACGTCTGTACGTACGTCTGTACGTACGTCCCATTCTCGTGATCACGTTATCTGAAGAACGGATCAATGGATTCCTACCAAACTTTGGTCATATATGTATCTAGCAAAGTCGATGAACTGATTAGATTTTGGGGTCACGAGGTCAAAGGTCACAGGGCTCATTAATTTATGCAAAAACAGCTCGTGATCGCGTTATCTGAAGAACCGATGGATGGATTCCTGCCAAACTTTGGTCATGTATGTATCTTGTAGAGTCGATGAACTGATTAGATTTTGGGGTCACGAGGTCAAAGGTCAAAGGTCACAGGGCTCATTATGTATGCAAAACGGCTCGTGATCGCGTTATCTGAAGAACCGATAGATGGATTCCTGCCAAACTTTGGTCATGTATGTATCTTGCAGAGCCAATGAACTGATTAGATTTTGGGGTCACGAGGTCAAAGGTCAAAGGTCACAGGGCTCATTATGTATGCAAAAACAGCTTGTGATCGCGTTATCTCAAGAACCGATTGATGGATTCCTGCCAAACTTAGATCATTTATGTATCTTGCAGAGCCAATGAACTGTGTAGATTCTTGGTTCATAAGGTCCAAGGTCATGGGCTCATTATGTATGCAAAAATAGCTTGTGAACGCATTCTCATTAGAACTGACAGATGGATTACTATTTAACTCTGGATATCTTGCAGAGCCAATGAGCTGAGTAGATATTAGGATCATGAGGTCAAAGTTCAAAGGGTCATATATGTATATGAGAAATTGTTTGTAATCACGATATTCTGAGAACCTGTTAATGGATTACAATTGAACTTGAATTTGAAAAATTTCTTCTGTTTTGGTTTGTAAAATTGCTCTATGACGGAGGCATCATTTTCGACTGCGCGCAGTCGAATTCCATCTAGTTATTCATAAAAAAGGGGGAGGGTCAGGGGGGAACTTGTGCTTCTCTTCCTCTAATTAGAGAAACAAAAAAAGAAAAGACACAAGAGGAGAGCGAAATAGGAGAGGGAGAATGGTGATTGGACCCCTTTCCGCACCCTTATTATTAGTAATTGGCCTTGTAAATTTGTACTTCAATACCGATGACCTCCACCATCAGGGACATCTATACACAGAGTTTGGCCAACTTGGTTTCAGCTAGTGACAACATGGCGCATATTCTTTTGTTTTGTGCTCGCCTAACAAAGCAGTATTCGCCATATTGTGTCCAACTTTGAACCAGGTTGGCCAAATGAGGAGACGTTATGGCTCAGTGGTAGAGCAGTGGTCTCGTAACCAGGAGGTCAAGGGTTCAAAACCAAGTCGATGCGCGAATGCACTTTAGTAAGGCATTGATCCTCATTACCAAGTCCCTCAGAGAGGACTTAAAGTCATTAGTCCCCTGGTTGCTTAATTACAAGCATACACATGCTTTCATAGCAGTCAGGTAAACAAACAAACAAACAAACCACTCGTATACTTTACTTTGAAGGTTACAAGATTACACATACTTTCTTAGAGGTCAGGTAAAAAAACAAACCATCAAACCAAAACTCTCCTAATCAATGATACTGTTCATCTTAATACCAATACCCCCCACCCCCAACCCTGATAGTCGGGCCAATGCCATGTCACTGATGGTGATCACCGGAATGTTCAATGTTTCTTATTTATTGTCTCTAGAGGGCGTAAGATCTTCGAGCCTCCACGCTTCCTCACGGTACCACAGGCTGCGTCTCAACTTCTTGAAATTCCAGACAGGAGGAAAGAGAGGGGAGACGACTACACAGGTAAATCCTCAGTCTCTTGGTGTCAAGGCTCGTTAAGATATGACCCTGTAAACGCCCCCGCCCCCCCAATCTGCTTTTAAAACGTGTGATATAAATTTGTAGATCAAAACAGTGACTTTGTGTGTATTACCTCTGTCAAGCCGCCTAATTGACCCCACACTGACCCCACTCCGTCCAAAACTGACCATCTCTTTACCATTGAGGGTAATGTAATTCTTTTTCTTTTTTTTGGGGGGGGGGGGTCTGGTGCTGGCCTCTTTGGTGTAGCTGGGGGGGGGGGTAGAGGGTTGTGCATAAACAAAGAATATGAACATAGTATTTCTCTATGGGAACCTACATTAATGACTTGCAAGTTGCCATAGAAAAAAAAAAGTAAATCCAGAAACTTTTGGGTATTGTCAAAAACTAGCAATCAAAAAAAATTAATTGCTGCAAAAGTTGTGTTTCAACCATTTAGTTTAGCATTAACATTTTCAGTGAAAATTCTTCAGAACATTTAAAAATATTTTTTTTTATTATTTTAGTTTTACAACCTTATCTGTTGAGCTATTTTCTATGTAACTTGCATATTCAACTTTGTTGCTCTTTGATCAAAAGTTTGGGGTATATTATTACGAATTATATTTCCTCATAAAAATTTGATCTCTCTCTTAACAGCTTACACAGAAGACACAATTTGCATAGGGGTTGCCAGAGTCGGTTCCGACACCCAGCGGATCGTATCTGGAACGTTACGAGAGCTGACCTCCGTTGACCTCGGAGATCCTCTGCACTCATTGGTCATTGCTGGTCACATGCATCCAGTCGAGCTAGAGATGCTCAAGCAGTTTGCTGTTACCCCTTCTATTTTCGATGCATTGCTTGCAGAAAGCAGATAGCACTGGTTTATGTGTTGGTCGCTGTCTGCATGTCTCTCTTTTTCTCTTTCTTTCTCTCTATCTCTGTCTTTTCCTCCCTTTAATTTTCTCTTTTCTTATACCTGTATTTCTTTTCCTCCATGTCTTTCCTTTCTCCTTCTTTCTCAATCTCTCTCTAGCACTGCCTGTCTCTGTCTGTCTGTTCTCCTATGTCTCTGTCTGTTCTCTCTATCTCCGTCTCTCTTCTCTCTATCCCTCTCTCTTCTCTCTTTCTATCACTCTTTCTCTCTCTTTAATATTGTCTGATATGCGATGTTTCATAATAATGTACTTGAGAATTGTATACACGTATTTATGTCAAGTAGTTCACTTTATGTAATGGTTATTTGATTACATGTAAAAGATTCAATCTATTGTGAGGTGAGGTATTAGAATCATATTGGATATATATCGGGACTATAATCTAGGCTTGTCTGCATGTAGTTTGCATTTACTCATAGTGGGCAGAAAACTTTGAATAAATCATGACATCAAGAATCAAGATACATGTACCGGTATGCAAAACTTGATTAAGTTCATTAACTTAAAAAAGAGACATTTCATGATGTATTGGATGTTTTGTTCATACTTTCATAATAAAGTTTTTCTTCTTTAACAAATTTTGATGAGCTTGTCTGAAGTTCTTCTTAACCTAGCAATAGCATATGTATGCAAAATGTTCTATAATTTCTTTGTACATGCAGAATTAACCAACTTGATAGTTGTTACTAGGTAAGCAACTAAGAAAATCCCAGATTTCAAATTTATGAGTAATCCATGATATACGGTATTGTATTCTCTTGTCTTTAAAGTCACTTGTAAGCATTTTAAATTATTGTAGCACATTCCAGTAATTTGATGTAAATGTAATATATTGAGCATTCCAACAGTCTCTCTCTCTGGTTTCTTTTCTTTGGCTGACCTGGACATATTTATGTACATGTACAAGATCGTCCTGTACATTTCCAAGAAGACACATTCAAATTCAAAGGGAACAAAAATGCTACAAAGTAGTGCTAAAGTATATATGAAGTTGTCTTTTTAATATTAGTTAGTATTTACAGCAAGTTCGTTGAGAAGGCAGGCATTACAGTGTACAAGTCAGCTTACAAAGGTTGGAATAAACATACATAAAAGTTCTCTTGAACACAATTCTACAAGTTGAAGGTAACACATGTAGTTTCTAGACATTGGCAATTAAGTCTAAGGTATTCAGTCATTAGCTGCTTCATACGTCGCCAGGAATAAAATGAAAATAAGTTTTGTTTTCCTTGCTATTTGGTCTGGTCCAAGCTGCAGCAGGGTCGTCAACTCGATAGAAGCATTAGTTATACATGTGGTACTAAACACTCTGATGTCGGTAACAAAAGGGACAAAATATTGAGGACTTGCCCGCACACTAAGAGAGAAGGGTGTACACATATGACATCAACATAGTTTATGTTCATAGATCCAATTGTAGAAGAACATTCAAAAAAATATCTATCACAAATTGATTTTAGTCCAAGATGGGGATGGAATAGATACACATAACTTAATTACATGTAAATTTATTCACAATTCTGGCAGCATGAAAGAAGAATGCCATATTGAATAAATATATTATATGAAGATATTTGAACAGTGTATGTGTGATTTTATTTGTTTAATGGAACAACAAACTTCTATAGACTTAATGCAGGGCTCAACACTAACTGAAAGCTGCCACTTTGGGCAACTAAATTAGACTGATTGTAATTTTCTTGTGGCCTGGATACTGGATTTGGTAGTCCAGGGCCCATCTTATAAACAGTTGCCATTAATTGTTACATATTTGTGATTGATGGCAACTTTGTAGATAAGAGATGGGAGACTGCAAACTTGCAATTGATTAAGAGGACTTGAGACTGATTTGGATCAATCGCAACTCTCTATATCAAAGATGAGGCCCAGATTAACGATGAAATGCATTTTTAAATTTCTAGCTAACAAATCATGTGAAAAGGAAAATGAAAGCAAGTTGTTGTTGTTGTTGTTAAATGTTTAATGGCGTTCATTCAGTAATGAATATATACGCCATAAATATCTTCAATTTTATAAGAAAATCCGTTATAGTCTTCATAAGAAAACTGAGAATAAAGATTTGTAATGAAATAATTAATTAATAAGTAACGCAATTTATTCAGAGTCTCTGGATGGTTTTCAACTTCGTGTTTCTGCTTTTTGGTTTAATCTGAAAGCAAGACTTTAACATCCATGCATTATATTAACTAAATAAAAGAATCCATTAGTTACCCAACATGCTCACCCATTACTCTTGCAATGCAATATTTTATTGTTAACGGAGCACTGGTAGGTGTGTCACAAAACTTGTCATCGGTGACAAATGACAGTTTTTGTTATAAGCTACTGAAATGCTTGCTTCTGATTGGTTATCAGCAGATTTGTCACTGTCATTTGTCATTGGAAAAAGGCTTTGTGAAACACCCCCTGGTGGGCCCAGGCTACTACTAGTGTCAAGGCATGCTTAATGTACAGTAATCTCTGCAACGCGCCTTAATTTGGCTATACATGTATTTCCTCATTAGGCAGCATCTTCTGAAAGCTTAAAGGATATTCAACCCTTTCTGTGCTATATAACATGACAATCCTTGGATCTACATGACGACATGGAACAAAGAAGTAAAGATATAGAGAGTGAATAAATACAATTTTTAAAAAAATGTAGAGAGTGACTAAAGACAAAGAAAATGAGTGTAATCAACAGGCTGAAATGTCTGAAGTAGTGTTACATTGCATCTTTTTCTTAAGTAGTGACCAATATCCATGATTAAAAATTGCCGAGACCTACAAGATGTTACAGGGGAGGTCCACCCTGATATCAAGTTTAATAGAAGCAGAACAAAAAAGAGAAACAAGTTAGTGAAAGTTTGTGCAATATTCGATTGAAAGTTATGAATTTTGAAGTTGTCATCAGTGAAACACTGATTGGCAACACTGACGTATCTTGCAAGTTCCTCTCCAACTTTCATTTTCTTATCGATGGAATATATTCGTTTCATACTGGGGTTGTATTAAAACATATGTTCAATAATTATATTTAGGGTGCATGTATGATTGAAAATTTTCTTAAGGGAAAAATATTGTTTTTTAGTACAGAGCAAATGTGTTGGAACCTCGCAATATACATCACAGAGTTGTCAATTTGTGTTTGATCGCCCCTACAAAAAATTATAACTTTCTTATTATTAATCAGCTTTTGCTCAACCTTTCACTGACTTGTTTCTCTCAATTTCTGCTCTTATTAAAACGAACTGAACATCAGGTTGGACTTCCCCTTTTAACTAATTTACAAACAGTTGGTGCCCTTTGTGCTCTCAGCAGACAAATTGTTTTGTTTCAATATCATACAATGGAAAAACATTCATACAATGGACAAACATTCATACAAAATAATGTACATGTAAAGACATGGAAATAAAAGAAAGCATACAGGTTGGATTGGTCTGAATGAGGATGATGTCAGAACCTCTTGTAGAAGGGAAAATGCTGACTTTAAAGTAGTCACCCGAAGAATCAAAAGAATTTTGAGTTGATGCAAAATTTGTATCATTGGGAAGGGGAAGCCTTACTGACCAAATATAACAACTTCCCTCTTCAAAATATGTTTAGGGCCCGCAGTAATCATCTCTCAAAAAATGTTAATTTTGAGATCCAGAGCGTCAAGATTCGTGACGTCACATACAAGACACAGCTAGCCACAAATTTGTTTACACCATTCCATGATATCTATATGATTTTTCAGCAAATAATTCTTGTTTTTCAAGAGAAAATCGTACCATCCATAAATAATTTGGTCATAATTATCAGTTTAATGAATAATGATGATGGTGATGACGATAAATTAAAACGGTTCATTTACATGTACTTTTAATATCACGTTCTCCATTCTCACTTTAAAAATCGTTTTATCATAAATCCAAGACAAATTATATTTGTATTCTGCTGTATGGTTAACTGCAATTATTAATGTGAGCTATGGTGATTCTAGCTCATAAAATGGGCAGAATTTATACTTGACCTTTTTCTGTAAGTTTACCTCACTCCAAAAGACAACAAATACACATCCAGCCTCGTAAGATTTTTCTAAAATATAAGCATTTAAAAGTGTATTGCCTAAAACCCATAGACATGCACTGGAAGAAATAAAAACAAAGGAAAACGGGAGGGAGTGGCAGCCTACCGGTAACATAACAATATCAGATTGCACTTTTGTAATACATGTGTAATATGACCCCCCCACCCCCAACAAGACTATGTCTTTCTGTGAATTACATTAAATCATCTTTCATTCAGAATATGTAGAAATATTGTAATCTACCATTTCAAATAATTGTGGAGAAATTTCTTTTACCTGGATACTACATTTCTTTATTTTTGTTAATTGATTAAAATATTAAAAATTGTACAGTCAAACCTGCCTATAGCGACCGCCAAAGGGAAACACAAAGAGTAGTCTTTGTAGACAGGTGGTCACTAAATCAGGTTTGGCTGTACCTGTACCTATACGCAAAGACTAAAAATAAAAAGCACCACAAAAGTTCATTTAAAATCTCCAACTGGAAATCATAATGGAAAGAAATATCTAGTCGAGTCACAATTTAAAAAAAAAAGAGAAGAGCTTGAGAACTTCAGATATACCAACATTTAAAGATCAGACAATTATCTTTAGGTAGTACTGATCTTTCTAATTCTACTGAATGTAAAAAATCAAAAGATAACGGAAAGTTACAAATTAATGGAAATTTCACAAAACTCTGGATGAACAAAGAATATGATAATAAATTTCATATTGAATTCACCGATTCAGATATTCAATAAATTTGCTATCTTTGCAATAGACCATTTTCGTAATGTAATCAAATTTAACGCATACGCCTTTGTGAAGTGCCTCAACACGAATGATACCAATCACCTGTCAGAATGCGAATTGCATACAGTAACTATTGCTAGGTAGGACATACATTATGGCTTGCCTTACCTAACAACATCCCCCAAAAAGCTCATTGTATTCTTTGACTTTGTATGTTTTCATGAAAGTGGTGAATAAATTCAATTCAATTTCATATGCAATATGCATTCTGACTATTGAAATACAATTATTTGTGTCAGGTGAATGAAATAATTTGCAACAAGGCAAGTAACAAAGATTTATGCATTAAATTTGGATAGTTTTGGATACATTACGAACATGGCCTATTCCATAAAATGAAACAGAACTCCTACCTCTCGTATAAAGGGACCTCTATACAGACAAATTTGGAAACAATGGTGGAAGCATAAAAAAAAGAATGAAATATTTCATCATAAACCAATGTTATTTCCTTATATTTTCCATATGCACAGTCCACATCTCGTTCAATGCACACATGCTTTCCACTACGCCAGGAAATATATCAATGCAGCTCATTTACATAATCGTCTATTTAGAGCCAAAAGGGCATTCAGTCGTACGCTTCAATACAGAGTCAACACCCTTCTGGCTTTCCAAAAATGAAATAATGGAATCTGCATCTCAGTATGCACTTTTTGCAAAGCACGGTAGATTCAGGGCCCGTTTCATAAAACTTGTTATCAGCAACAAAAAACTAACAAATACTAAAACTCTGTGACATTAGTGCTCAGCCAATCAGATGCCACGATTTCAGTAGCTTATAACAGTTATTGTACCGTGTTATTGATGTAAATTTTTATGAAACAAGGCCCCTGTTCTAAACAGACCGTTTGCTAAATGATCCAAGGGGTAAAAAGTATAACGACATATATATCAATTAAAATACATAATACTTCTAAAAAGTCAACTAAAAAGACTTGTAACACAATCCCTTTAGAATGGCCGAGAATCAACCCATATCTTCAGGACAGATACACGACGGTCTCTAGCTATTGCAAAGTGAGTGGAATATTACCCTCATATCGAACACTCGCAGACTTCAGTCAATATCAGAGTGAAAAATACTGTTAATGTGATCTCTTTTAGGATTTGGTGTTGCATGAGTGCGATATTCTCACAGTAATTGTAATTTTTAATAGCAGAGCTCTTTTTCAATTTACTTTATTTTGGGACTTTCCAAAGCTAAATTGCTCACCGCTCAGCCTCCTGTGTATTTTTCCACTGGTCAACATGGAGAGCTTTTCAATAGATGCAGTAGGCAGCTTGTTCATGATACTAAACATGAATACCATTTACAATGTCAACTGCACACAATAAATGGACAAATTGAGTCAATATTCAGTGCAAAGATAAATTAAAAATGCTCATGATACTTAAAGGGAAAGTCTGCCCTGATACGAGATAAATAAATTTGTGAAAGTTTGAGCAATCTCTCATCCCCCCACCCTGATTTACCCTAACAAGACCTGAATCCACCCCCCCCCCTTGCTGCGATACGTTCAAGGGTAAACAATTGTTGGTGCCGCAAGCTTTCATAACTATTGCCCAGAGCATGTTTTGATACCAAATTTATACAATTTTGACCAAAGTGTATTCCACATATTGTACACTATGCAGAATTACCACTTCACAGATATGTGAATATTCAATTAGTGATAATTAAAATACCATTTGAGATATAGATATAAAACTTCATGGGCTTATTCTTTATGAGTACTATTATCAGAATTTTTTGTTATTCCAAGGCCAAGATTTCAAGAGAGGGGGGGGGGGGGGTGGGTGGAATCCATTCCCCCCCCCCCCCCCCTCCCCAACCTTGGCTGAGAGAGCACCAAACTAAGTTGTCCTTTTTAGGGTTAATACAGGTGAGGCAGGAATCCTCATCTGTTTACCAAAGATGACGCTTTACAAAGCCAAGGGCATACAAACATGATTCCCTTACACACATGAATTCAAAAATTAACAGAGACCAGGATAATTAAAAGTGCAATTATGTCTAAACACCTCCTTGAACTTTTGCTTTACATGATCAAATATTAATTATGTCAACATTTGCACTTAAAAATTAGCACAAACAGTCCAATGCCGGACTTCACATCTGTCCTCCGGTCACTGTATGGTGTTCCTGGGGGGCGTTTCACAAAACCTTTTATCAATGACAAATGACAAAAATCAGTGACAAATCTGCTGATGACCAATCAAAAGCAAGGATTTCAGTAGCTTATAACAAAAACTGTCATTTGTCACTGATGACAAGTTTTGTGAAACGCCCTCCTGAAGAGCATAGTCCACTTGGTGACATAGTTGATTGAGGTACCATCATTGAAAGGGATGTTTCGGCAAGCTTTAAAGGGATCAGTCAAAGTTGTCATCATGCGCTGGTATGATCGGTCTGTACATAGAGCTGCCGAACACCAGCCTGGAAAGTGGGAAGAAAATTAAAAGAAGGAAATATCGTATCAGTTTTTGCTGTATCTTTTCCTGGGCCTGTTGCACAAAACTTACCATTGATGGTAACTTTGCCATCAATGGTAACTACCATGGAAACCTTGATTTTGATTGGCTGTTGAGCCCTGTTACCATGGTAGTTGCCATTGATGGCAAAGTTACAATCAATGGTAAGTTTTAAGCGACGGGCCCAGGTATATGTCCTTTGGCAAGGCATTAATCTACATTTGCCATTCCATGCCCAGGAGAGAAATGGGGACCCGGAAGGATGGGGAAAGCCTTTGTTTTATAATTTGCCCTCACTGTGACCATACGGTAGGAATACTCCCCAGGGAGTGGAGATTGTGCAAATTGTGCATGAATGAATCCGACCAGTGTAATAATATCTCTAACGTGCTCAGAGACGGTATTTTGTATTAAGTACTATATAAATCCAGATTATTGTGTTGATAGACAAACAGATCCATCATTAACGAAAAAAAGACATCCCAATCCACAATATCATTGATGTTAATATTATAAATACCTGTTTCAACAGTTTACAACAAGTTGGTGTTAAAATAACATGCTTTTTAACAGTTTCTGATGTTCAAGCTATTAAGTTGGCAGTAGAGAGAATCAATTAAACATAACTCTAAACAAATCAAATTTGGGATGTTAATTACAATTCACCACAATTTGCCAGATCCTTTGAGGAATCTGACTCAATAAATCAATAAATTTCTGAAGGGATATCCATCCATAATTTTTTGTTTCGCTTCATTTCTCCTTGCCTTATTGCTAAAACAATATATCAATGCTTATTGTTCCCTGTGAAAATATATAAATGCCCATTGTTTACCTGTGAAAATATGTAAATACTTGATGTTTACCTGTGAAAATATATTGTGAGTCTGAGTAATGATGTATTTGACGTCAGCGTTGGGGGCGACCTCTAGCTTCAAGGTGCCCACGTAGACATCGGTGCAGAGAGTCCAAAAATGTTTGTCTTGGATGCTGTAGACACCCTCCAAGTTACCAACCTATGCATATTGAATAGGACAAAGCTAAATTAAACAGAGACTAAAGAAAATTATAATAACTTGAGTTATAAAAGGAGTAAAAGAGGCCGTAGTGTAAAGATGGTAATAAGAGACAGCCTTGAATACAGGAAAGTTAAAAAAATACATTTCCGCAAATAATTTTTCTTGTAAAACAGAATAAACAAGTAGACAGGCATCATCAAACTCTAAATTATCAATTAGTTGAGTTTCCCTGATTATGAAATCCTGTTTTCTTTTTCTTCTTCTTCTTCAAGTCACTACGCCACAACGTTCACTCTTGATTAGATGGCCCCAATCCAGTGTTGGATGCATTATATCGCGCAGGGGGCTAGTGGTACCAGATATTCTGGGGTGCAAGGGTCGGGTAGATGTTGCATAGTCTGCTCCTCTCAACACAGGCAGATGGTGTCATGAACGTTTTCACTATACCCCTACTTCCAGTTATAAGTGTAGTAAAACTATGAAAATTCAACTAACAAGATTTGTTTATATCTATCTTCATTACCACAATTCATCACTATTCAAACAACCTTTATGGACTTCAACCAACACTGCTCAAGAATAACACCCATAATTCCATCTAAAAGTTCCTTTTAAAATTGAAAAAAAAATGTATATTCAATACGATTATTGCTGATGATGGAATACTGGGCTCTGTCTTATGAACAGTTACCATTGATTGGAATCAATCGCAAATTTTCAGTCCCTTATCTCTTTTGTACAAAGTTGTGATTGATATCAATAGCAAATAAGATGCGATCAATCACTGTTTATAAGATGGGGTCCTAGTCAAATACATGTACAGTCAAACCTGTCTATACCAACCGCCCAAGGGAAACACAAAAAGTGGTCTTTGTAGAAAGGTTCCTTTAGAACATGTTTCAATGAGAAACCAGTTTCAAGGGAAACAGAAAATGTGGTATTTGTAGACGGGTGGTCTCAAAAGCAGGTTTGACTGTAGCTTCAATGCTGGTTGAGCATAAGAAATGATATAAAGAGGATCGTACCTTCTGATAGCAGCTTGGTAGCTCTACCTCTATCTCACTTGGAGTCCTCATCATTAGAATACTCACTGAATCCGCCAGCAATGGCAAGACGCTGAAAGATGAGAAGAATATTATTTGTGCAGCTTGAACTCATGACAACAACAATTTGGAATAGACATTGTATGATTTATCTCACTTTGATGATGAAACTGACACCTAAAAAAATAGTTTTAAGGAAGTGAACAGTAAAGATACTGATACATTTAAAAGAATACAGGCGATCTATGAGTTGATTAAATGGGACCAACAGCCACAAAATTAATATTTTTAATCATTAGTAGACATCAAAGCCATTCCCTAAATTGAGACATTCAAATAAGGATATCATAAAGAGGCAAGAAAGGAAAATGTTCTGGCTAGTCTACTCACATGTTTCTTGAAAATTACTCCATTTAGAACGCAATTTCAGGATGGGAACTTTAACAATAATTATCTCTTTAAAATGGTAACATCTAAAGATCTATGTTGAACACTGTGTGCCAGTATGAAAGCTAAAACATCTAGAGAAAAAAAATATATGAGAATGAAAGAAAGAACTCCTTATATCAATACATAAATAGCATCTGCTCCTCATTTTCACTCTTGTTCTCTCTATCTCTCTCACCCTCCCCCTCTCTTTCTTTCTCTCTCTCTCTCACTCTCTCTCTCTCCCTCTCTCTTTCTCCCTCTCTCTCTATCTATCTCTCTCTCTCTTTCACTCTTTCCTCCCCCACCCCCTCTTTCTTACTCACTCTGTTTTTCTTACCTGACCATAATAAGTAGAGCTATAAACATGAAACACACTCTCTCTTTCCTTCTCCTTCCCTTCCCTCTCTTTCCTCCTTCCCTCTCTCTTACTCACTGTTCTTCTTACCTGACCATAATAAGTAGAGCTATAAACATGGAACACACAGGATCGACCCACATCCAGCCAAAGTACTGTATCAGAAGGGCAGATATTATCACACCCACACTGCCTAACGTATCCGCCAAAATATGAAGAAAAACACCTGCAACAAGATTGAATGATGACAATTTGTTAAAAAGACTGATAACTTTTATTTACAGTTACTCTATTATATATACTGGTATGTTATCATTATATCAGATTTTGTACTTCAAATGTTGTACTTGTTTTTATTTATTTCATTTATCAGAAAAATATATTCAAATCAAATCAAACATTTTCTACAGTGTATGTCTTGTTATTTCCAACAATGATAAAGACTCTTCTGAACAAGTAAACAAATCTGATAATTCTACTGGTCAAGGTAAGCATAGTAAGCAGCCCTATGTTAAAGTATCGTGGATGTAGACTTTTATAGACCAGCAGTAATTACTCCACATAGTGTTTTTTTTAAAAGTAAACAAATCTGTTCGCAGGTGCTCTATTTGTATCAAATTGTGTAAAAGTGTTATTTTCTGAAGGCAATTAAAAAAAAAACATTTTATTGATTTTAACAGAGCTCTCTCCCTCTCTCTCTCTCTACAATGTACTAGGTCTCTGTAGAGGAATTTGCCAGAGCTTATGTATTTTATTCCACTGATTCCCTCAGAGAAATATGAGAGATGCCCAAAGAGAAGAGAAGAGGAGATCTTACCTTTAAGGATCTGTTTTGAGCTCCCTTGTGGTGTGTGCTGATGTTGGGAATCCTCGTCCTTGTAACCTAAACCTATCAGAGAAGAACACATAAATATGGAAAGTGAATAATGCTTTGGGGGGATGGGTAAAAAAAAAGGGATTTCATCATAGTTTAAAGAGAAGGTTGAGTTCTGAGGAGAGGTGAAAAATAATTTGCGAGCGTTATCATTTTATTATGCAAGTGTGGAAGAACATCAGTAAAAAGGTTTCACTGCAAAGCATGGCTCTTCAAATGCCTTCATATTCTAAATATAACAAGTAACAGCTTAAAAATGAGGCCCTATTTTTATGCCACATGTTTGTGTAGTCCCGTACCAAGACTGGGCCAAATTTCTTATCATGTTGACGACTCCAGAACCTTGCAGTACACACCAATACTTATATGCTACATTATCAACTTTTTCTGATCTATACCACACCATTTCTTTCACAATGCAATCACATGACCAAAACTAAACTTTATCTTTAAACCATACTAGCAATATATTTTCAACTACTCACTCTATTCAAATCAGGTAATACTTCTATCCATGTATTAAATGTATAATCATGTTTGATTAGGCTAGAGTATGATTGGGGGATAATAGTGAGATTCCACAAGCAGAGACCACTCACCATGACTATGCCCATGTCCACCGTGTGAATGACCATGACCAGGGCTATCTTTGGCCAGAGTGTTGCTCAAGCTCTCTACATGTGAGTGACCGTGTGAGTTGGCCGGAGCGCCGTGACTGTGACCGTGGCCTGAGAGAAAGCAAGAGGGAAAAGGAAGATAATCAATGGTTCTACAGTAAAAACCTGTCTATATAGACCACCCAAGGGAGAAATGAAAGTGGTCGTTATAGACAGGTGGTCTTTATGTACAGCTTCCTTTAGTACATGTTTCAATGAGAAACCATTTTCAAGGGAAACAAATCATGTGGTCTTTGTAGACAGGTGGTCACTAAAGCAGGTTTGACTGTATCTATCTATTCTTTTTTTGATGGTATCTTCTCCTAGCTCGGACATTGACAGCATCAATTTTCCACTCAATTCACGTAGGATCTTGCAGTGTAATTCCAATCATTATGTTCTCCTTCAAGTTGGTTCATGGCTTCCTTCTCGGTCTTATACCTTCTGCTTTTCCTTCAAACAAATCTTTAAATGGTTCATTGAATCTATAGAATCTAATGCACTTAGCAATCTGTTTTAAACTTACATGTAAGTACTAAATATATGACCCTTATTGAAAATCAAATTTCTCTTTAAAGTTTTTGAGTTGCGTTTAAGGACAACATTCAATAAAACGTTTTTAATAGTTCAGTTTATTTTGTAGAGCTTCTATCAACCTAGCAGGCTATTGCAAATTTGAGATTTGCATAGATTTAGTGATGTCATATTTCAAACATTCATAACTCCCTAATTATTGGTCCAATTTGCTTCAAACTTACACCTTTCTGTTCCTCTTATTTTTCTGCTTTCATACAATTTTTTTCAAATTTAAATTTTAAATCAAGATTGTGTTACCCTTTAAAATCATTTCAACCCTTCTTTGAACTTAACAGAATAAATACGATAGATTGACATAAGGCTGGTGTTTTACTTGAATAGCGAGAGAGAGAGAGAGATGAAAGAAAGCGAAATAGAGAGAGAAAATGGAGAGAAAATGAAAGAGAGAGAGAGAGAGATAGAGAGAGAAAGAGAGAGAGAAAGAGAGAGAGAAGAGGGAAAAGGCAGAGAGTTATGGAAACTAACACAAGCAGTGTAGAGAAGCTAAGTGGGGCTAAATGATATCTCTCGAGATAAAGCTCATCAATCAATTTTGAACTTTAGTCACATACAATCATCAAATCATATCTACAATGCAGTTATTTATACAAAAACACTATTTGCTAATAGTAGAACTGTGATGTTTGTTATGGGCTTTCTAAACTAAAAAATAAATGGTGTTAGGACTCTTATTTAAATGTCATTCACAGTATTGACAATGGTTGTGGCTTTGATGAAAGCTGTGTGATTGACTTGATGTATTCATGAGTACTCGCCTGCCACTAAATCAATAATCAGTTTTATTTATTTGTTATTATCAGACAGAACACAAATATTGATCAATGAAAGAGGAATTTTTAAAAACCAATTCAAGAAAGCATGCAAACCAAAGAAAATCTACTGAGGCCTCATCCTTTTTTAACCTCACCCTCTTTGTATCCAAAAAATATGTAATGGACTTTTTGACTATTTTGTCTTTTACGAACACCAACTATTACTTTTCACAGAGTATCATGAATTCTAAGCCCAAGATACCTTGGGCTGAGGTCTCTGGAAAGTGTTTGTAATTAAATTGTCCTTGAATAACGAGTGAACAGAGGGCAAATTGAAAATGCCCATCTGAAGTTCTGAATCATTCATGATATAATATGCTTTGTTTATATATCGCCTCTGCCATCTACAATGTATCTAGCACTTCACAGATATATTATAAACCGTATCATCAGGTTTGGGTTTTTCATAAGGTGCATATTCATAATAGTAATACGCTTGAACTTTTATCCAAGGAGTATAGGAAGAGATTCCAAAAGAGGCTAAATCCACTTTTGATGAAAATTGAGTTATTGATATCAGAAAAATTGTTTATTTCAGTACATGTCTCTCAACAGAAGTATTGACCTAAATTTTGGGAGTGATTATGAAAAAAAAGGAATTTTCTAATATCACTTTTCCATAGATGCCTGTACAAAATCCGGTAAACAATTTCTTTTTTTCCTGAAGTTACAAAAATGGATAGCTCCTTTTGGAATTAAACTCTTTATATAATGCTTACCTTCTCCTCCATGTGCATGGCCATGACCAAAGCAGAAAATACCGACTAGATTCACCAGGAGTCCCAGAACAGACACGATAAATAACCGCTCATGACGGACCTCAGGCGGTTCCACGGCTCTCTGAAAATCAGGAAACAAGTAAGATTTTGCATCACGTAAATTGTCCAAGATTACTATTATTCATTGATGAATTGTGACTTCTATTCTGATTAGAAATATTCAGTCTTTGGTTATGAAACTCATAGTCATATTTCATATCATATAGTAACACTACACAGGTACAATAAATGGATACCTGGTAGGAATTTATTTCTTGAAGGCTATTAGCACCTTAGGGCAGCTGAGCTATAGCCAGAGTAATAATACTACTTTGTAGGCATTTTGAGCATCCCCTGAGATGGATACATGCACGCAATATAAATGTAGATATTACCATTATCATTAATATTGCAGGAACTAAGGGGACTCTTCCCACTGGCAATGAAAATTAAATAATACGCTTGAATTATCCAATGGGTGTTAAAAAAAAAAAAGTCGCTGTTACAAAAATCTGATAAACCTCATACTTTGATGTATAACATCGATTAACATGTATTTGTTTGGAGCCAGAAGGGTGTTCACTACCAGAATGTGTAAAATTGAATAATTTAATGCCTTTCTGGCTTCAAACAGATGATGCCATTTATAGGCAATCTGTAGTTGTCTAATACTCAGGCATCAAACTCAATCTTAGGGTATTAATAATTCTTTTGAAAGCAATATAAATAAGGGGATATCTAAAACATGAGACTCTACGTATACATGTATATTTCTTATAAAGGCTTAAAATAATTCAGCTCTTCCAAAACAGAGACAAAATTGACAACTTCCTACTCAGGCATCAAACTCACACCTACAATTTTAATCATTCTTTCGAAAGCAATATCAAAAAGGGAACCTCTAAAACATGAGACTGTACGGATACGGCATGGTACGGATAAGTTCATTACTACAGTGATACTAGGGCCTAGTTTTACTGTCTGATGGCCAGAGACAAAGATGGTGAATCGAAGACCTGGGGGGTGTTTCACAAAGAACTTAACTCTAAGTTGAACTTTAAAATTATAGAGAGCCATTTGTAACCTTAAAACAAAATATATTTAATAGTAAACATTTAAACATTTTAGACTTTTTATGAATTCCACATCAAGCCCATGAAATCTCCTTGATAATAGAAAATATGAATGATTTGAATGAACATTTCATGCCTTTTAAAATAACTTTTACAAAACATTTTCATACATGTAGATGCTAACGGCTTTCCATAATTGTTAAGTCCAACTTAGAGATAAGTTAGACTTAGGATCTTTGTGAAACACCCCCCTGACCTTTGAACTTACCTCCACAGCTTCGGAGAAAATGAAAAACGCAATAAAGAGAAGGAAGAGGGCGTTCACAAAGCCAGCTAAAATTTCCATTCTAACATAGCTGCAGGAAAAGATCAAAGGAAACATTTTAATATATTAAATGATTATGTATAACTAGGATTATTTTTACATGAATGCCTTTTCTGTTTTTGTTTCTCGTAATGAATTTGTCTGGTATAATTCTATGATGTTTTGTGTTATTTTAATCTTTGTATTTCTATCTCGTTTTTAGTACAATTAAGAAACTTTTTATGTAAATTGGCTGCCGTTTTTTCCCACCGCAATATGATTTAGATTGAAGATGTTTAATTTTAACGTTTTTTATTGTTTATACAGTATATGCATATAAATTGTACTTGTGTACAGATGTGGAAATAAAACTTGAACTTGAAATCAAATTGGCATCTTATGTTTGGTGTTTTTAGCAGGGTCCTATTGAGACTGCAGAGCCAGAAAATCTACAAATTATAGCAATCTCATTTTGAATTTACAATCAAATAATATTTACTGCTTATTTAACTACCGAGGTATTCATTTTCTGGAGGAAAAAAATACATTAAAGCAGAGCTGCCAACCTTGTGCAACCAAAAAAAGGAATCATGATGGCAAAAAAAAAGGAATTTCAAGCAAAAAAAAAGGAATTCATAAAAATGAAACTTACAACCACGCGCGACACACTTCTAATGCAGAAATGTTCATTCATCATGCTGTTTTTTTCCATACAAGCAGGTAATTTTTTGGTGGTTATTTTGGTATTATCGGCATTTCATTCTTTTTGAGAATATTTTTCTCTGCATATGTATGTTTTAAAATTAGTTTTCTATTGAATTTGTAATCAAATCACTATTTTAGGGCAGTTGTTTGACGTGCGGTATGTAAAAAAATAAAAATACCCCAAAAATACCCCAAAAATACCAACACAAAAAAATTAAAAAAATAATAATAATAATAATTTTAAAAAACGTGTTTTATGAAGAAAAAACGTAATACCGTAATTTGGAGGAAAAAACAGAGTAATTCCGGCAAAAACGGAATGGTTGGCAGCTCTGTTATTTAAGCATCGCAAAAAAGTATAAATCATATGTAAGTATTATTTTATCCTTGCTTCACTATAGAATAGAATGTACATGTTTCATCTAGTTTTGATTTCATATTGCTTTGGGCAAGTGAATTGATAAATTACATGAGGTTGCCAAGCCTGCAAGTCAATGGCTTTTCTGGTATCTTCTACTTTAATGATAAATACATGTATTTTGCCACTGTGAATCACACATGTGTGTCTGGACCCAGCTAAACAGTATGAGTTATAACTAAGCCCTTTAATCCAACCCATCTCTATCTAAGCCACATAATCCTTCCCATATATCAAATCTGCCCATTTATGAAATCGATATATTGTTATTAATACCATGGTTTCCACACTTTATTATACACATATCGGTAACCATAAAATACACACAAAACAGAAAACACGCATCCAGTGTGTGCATTGTCAGCAACTCATTCACCCCACTGGTTATTCAAATAAAAAACAGATAAATTAAAAGAAATGTTATGCATAATAAAAGCTGGGGTAACAATATGATTGCAGGGCCTTCATGTAGAACAGTATTAATACTGATGAGGCTACTCTGGGTAAACAAGTCATATCAATATCATTATTATTATTATTATTCACTGTTTGATTGGCATGAATAAAGCTCCATCAGCCAAGCATGTCAAACAATTAGAATTGTATGGGCGTATGTTTGTACTGACAAAAGGCTGTCTTTTCAAGAGTTTATTCATAAAGGTATTATTCTCATTATGTATCAAAATTAAATGTGACATGTGCACAGAGGATATGGGCTTTCATGGAGAGTAGTTTGACAGCAAGTGCTGTGAAGCAAGCTACAAATAAAAGTAATGACTCATGAATAAACATCAAGCCAGGCAACTGTGACTCAATGAAACGGCAAATCTTGTAAAAAGTTCTCATTTTTTCATATTCTAACCTTTCATAAAATGTATAAAATTGTACATGTGTATGGATATTGACTAACATGTATTTGTCAGTCTTTTCATTTGAACATTCAACTCATCTCAGAGCTTTTCATTTTGAGACAGACTTTTACAAAATGCCCGGCTTTCTTGTCTCCATATACTTTCATTTATGTACATACAGTATGTTTAGATTATGTTTCCCTTGCTCTTCTTGTCTTCTCCGCTCATGTTATTCTCATGTTACATATAACATATTGATATTATTCTGTAACTTTTACATGTTTGTTTACCTTTGTATATTTTTGATAAAAGTATCAAATAAAGTGAACTTGAAATTTTAAAAAATATAGCTTTTCTTACCCGTAAGAGAATTTATCGTTAGCTCTCCATTTTGAGATGATCGAAGCGACGAGACCAGCAAGCAAGGCAGTGCAGTCGAAAAACATATGGAAGGAATCGGAGATCAGTCCAAGGCTATGGAAAAGAAGAAATTAAAATAGACCTGTTTGCTGACAAATTCAAATTTTATGCATACTATTTAAACAGTTGTTCTTGACCTAAAAGCTTGCTCGAGGCTCGCGCAACATAGCAGCAAGTAAAGTATGTTGATTTGATTCCAAGTATTGTAGTTCATTCATTAATAACAGGTCAATGAAATAACTCATCATTAGGTCCCCAGGAAATAAACATTCAAAAATTTGAATATGTTAGTAAACCTGTCTATTGGTGAGAAAAAAATTGTCAACAAATATTCTCAGTATGGAATTTCATGAATGTGGAAGTGACAAAAGTCTGGTGATGAAATCATAAACACCCTGGATAAGAAACTGTCCTATTTCATGTGTACTGTTGTCATCTAAGACCCCGTTCTCACTCACTTCGTTGGAGCGCTCTGGAGCGCTCTAACTAAGACCCGCTCCTCAGGAGCGGTTCTTAGGTGAGTGAGAACGCTCAAAGTGGTCCAGGAAGCGGACTTCTGGACCGCTCCAGAAGTCCATCTTCCGAGGTGGTCTTGAGGAGCGGGTCTTATTAAGAGCGCTCCAGAGCGCTCTAACGTGCAATGTGAACGGAAAGCGTACTTTGAACGGAAGTGACGTTCCGCGCGATGAGCGATCGGGCAGGCACTACACATATACATGTATACGGGACGCGTCACGAACGGGACATCAGGTGACATAGGGTTTGGATTCCGCGCGCGAAAAAATTGACCTGCCTACCTGAGCTGCCATAGCAACAAGACCACTTTGACTCGTGGAGCGGTTTGAGCCATAAAAACTGCTCGGAGTGTGAACGCTCACAAACCGTTCCTCAAGACCCGTTCCTCTGGAGCGGTCTGGAGCGGTCTAACTAAGACCACTTTCAAAGTGAGTGAGAACGGGGTCTAAAGATCTACCATCTTGTATTTGGATGTTCAAATATACTTGAAAATTCACAAAATATGGTTCTTACAACAACAAAAAAATAGATATCAGTAAATCATTAAATACATGTACACTTGTATTACAGTAACCAACAAACGTGAATACATCCTTTTGAAAAACAATAAATATTCCAATGTAGTTCATTAGTGTGCTATGTAAATGTATCAAAGAATGCCAGCTCTATTAAGGTATGTGTTTTTAATACAACATTGCAGAAAGATACACGAAAATATGCAATTTGTTTGTAAAGGGTGTACTCACTTTTTTTGTATACTGTACTACATTTATATAGATATTAATAGATATATAGTCACTAATCAAATTCTCTAGCTGTTAATGCAGCCGTACAAACTATATACACATGATGACATGCCCATGTTAAAGAAGAACGTTTCCACACCTATGTATAAATAAAGGCGTGAAAATCATATAGAAAACACACAAAAATCTTCTAAAATACCTGTGTCAAGTTTCACTACGACAAGTTGACAGTTATAATCTGAGAGTTGGTCTTTTCCTATTTAAAGGGATCGTTTAACAATGTTACATCTGAGATACACGGCCCTAAGTGTTATCAGTGTCTGTGATATGGTGTAATATTGAAGCCCTAAAAAAATTGCGCTTCAAAATGATCAAGAAGTGCCTCAAAAAAGTAAAAATCTTTGAGTGACCGGTTTTACCATACTCGTTTTCTCCAATAGACTGTAGTGTTATGAAAACCGTCAAGCGATCGGTTTTCAAAATTTGTTATTCCAATCATAAATATCTTGATAATCAGACAGGCGATCGGCTTGTAAAAGTCATGGGGCTCCTGACTGACCTAAAGGTTTATAATTATCATTGCATCATGAGCTAAATCCAGAATTTTGTTTCAGAATCTAAGACAAAGTTACCGGATCCCTTTAATGCCATATTTGTTCGGATATTTGGATGAATGACATTAAAATATAAAACTCACCTGTTTGACCAAATTCCATAAGACAGCTCTACGAATGCAAAGGAAAGATTCAGGAACAGGAAGAAAAAGAGATTCCGGGAAGTCGCATCTGAATAGATGATCCTAAAATAAAATATAAAAATCCAATTACTACAATGATAAAACTGATGAAATATAATAATAATACTAATCTTACAGGCATGTTTAATATTCAGTTTTTATTTGTGACTGTACATTACTTAAAAATTTCAGAATTATCTGTTTACCGTATGCAGCTACATGTAGTTATGAATATGATAAGTATAGTTCAACACTCCTGGGCAGCTTTTCACAAAACCATAATTAGTACAAGTTCTCTGACATCTCACTGAAACGCATGTGTTGCAATTAAGATGAGTTTCAATGGGATGTCAGCAAACTTACATGTACTAACGATGGTTTTGTGAAATCCTGCCCTGGTGGACTAAAACGAGTCAAGATATTTCTCTTGACAGACCAGCTCTGGACAATAGTGCTGATTTCTAGCGATGTCCGGATTCTATTCAGAAGATTCTAGATTCAAAATGAGAAATCGAAGAAAAAAGAGACAATTCAGAGATATTCTTTTTTCTTCATGTCACTATGCTGTTTTTGCTTACAGGCCTTATTAGGCCCATTTTAGAATGCGGAAGGCCGCATGGTCCCAATACAGATTAGGAGAACAGAGGATGTTCAAAAGCGTACAAAGACGTGCAACAAAGATTATTCCTGGCCTTAGAAATTGATCATACCAGGAGCGCTTGACCAAACTCCAACTACCAACTCTTGTTCACAGGTGTAGAAGGGGGGACATGATCAATGTGTACAAGTACTTGAATGGCTTGTACAATGTGCAAGAGATTCCCTTTAAAGGGGCATGTTCCCCGTATTCCAGAGGGCGTTCAAAATACGTACCCGCTGGCGGACGGTGCTAGCTGCCTATTGACACCAACAGAATACGGCTCTTACAAAGATGGCATGTTCCGAATGCCCGCACAATGCCGATTACGTGCCGAAGTAATACCAATCGCAGTTCGGCTCTAAGATTCGGCTGCTGTTTCCGCCCACTTTCGTGACGTCACAATCGGCAGCGATCAGCTGGCTTGGCGAAGGCAGGCCAGGACGCGCGTACTTTGATTGACAGCTGTATGCAAATAAGAAGTCGATCTTCGGAACCAAGATGGCGATGACTAGAGCAGCGATAACTACACTGGCGGGAACGTGCCCCTTTAAAATGAGTACAGAAGATAGAACTCGAGGTCACTCTAGAAAATTGGAAAAGAAATATTCAAGGCTAGATAGGTTTTATAGGTTTTACAGCAAAACTAAGGGAAAAAAGAAATGTACTGCACAATAAGTTCTTTCCTCTTTTTGTTTTAACATTTGGAATTACCCTGATCATTGAACTTTGAAGACTGACTGTGAAGTGTGACTGTGAAGTATAGAGTGTGACTGTGATCAAGACAAAATGATGATTAGAATTCTAACAAATCTCAAAAAAGTTTCATCCAGTCGAGTACTCTACTCTCTCTAGATCAAGAGTTTCCCAAGGAAACTGTGCCAAAAGCCATCATAAGGTTCCAGTCAGATGAAAATACTAAAATTAGAAGTTAGAGTCAACAACTGTATTACTGTAGTCATAATTCTAGTCTACACTGCACTGTCTTTTAAAGCTCTGCATAAATCGCGGCCAACTTACTACAGCACGGGCATAGGGGTGCCGATCGCGATCGTGGCCGCTCCGCCACCCGCCGCACTGGCATGGACTTGCTGCAGCGCGCGTGCCCATGTAAAAAGCACAGCTGTTGCGGAGGCAACTACCATTTTCGATCCCATACTCACTTCCACCACGCCTGGATTGTCACCCATAATTTGAATCTAGGCTTGTAAAGCTCATCGTTCTTGTGTACAGGTAGCATGAGTCTTTGAAAATTCACAAAATTGAAGAAATTCGGAGATCTGTTACAGCTTTTCTAGATGTCTTCTAATCGCTGTCATCAGTTTTCTCTGTTGGGTGCATACACAAGTTGCACACGTTGCATACAAGCACTTCCGCTATATTAGCCGGTTTATAATGTTGACATCATATTCATAACATAGTCTATAATTTACACCTTTAAAAAACTAATCTTCCTACAAAATAGTATTTAAAACGTAAGTTCACATCTTTAATTCATTGGAATAAAATTTATTTCTTTATTTTATCCTAAAATTGTAGAATTATTACGAAATAGTCTTGAAATTTTACAATTAAATTTCAATTGACTCTTCAAAAAGTGAAAAGGGTTTATAAAAATAGACAAATCTATGAAGTCATTTCCTCTTGTTCGTTGGTCTTCAACAAAACTCCGGCTTTCTCAGTAGAATAAAATTGACACTCCAACAGCGAAGTGATATATTCACCCCTCCCCCATTATGTCCATGTAATAATAATTTATCAACAGTTTTATTTTTCCATAATATAATAAATCAATCATTTCCATCATCATGAGAATGTGGCTGGTTGGCTGTGTGAAGCAGGGCGTAGTTCAGCTGAGAGCATATTCTCTCGACCCCCATTACAAAATTACAACTATACATGCAAGGGTGTCGATTTGTGTCCGTGGTTGGGGGGGGGGGGGGGGGGGGGGGGTGATAGGTGCCAAAATATTTTCGGCAATGGATCAAAGCAACCAAGAGGTAGAAGCGTGTAGCAGGTTGCACCCCCTCCCTTTTCAAGTCACCCTCAATACAGAAAACATTTCAGAGAATATAAGAGTGATAATAAAATTAATAAAATGCTAAATGTTAGTCCTGACTCTTGCCTGCAGTGTAGGCCTTCCCGACGGATCTATATCTATAATATAACAGACATTTATTTTTAAACGAAATTTAGACATTACCAAAAACAAATCCAATGGTGAGGGATATCAACTTGTGAAAGTATTATGTTACCAGTGGGCAAATGCATTAATAAGCGTCAAAGCGTGACCAGAAAAGATTCATGTAGACAGAAAACTCTTTATTTCCTGTTGATAGAAACATACATTTTATGAATAGGCTTATATATGTCTCCAAACAACATTCATCGTGAAAAACCCTTTCCAATATTCTGTGTAAGGAAATCTCAAAAAAACATAGTTCTCATTAGTAAATGAAAAACATATTGCTTTTGGTTCTTCGTTTGACTCTTTTCCTTCTTTAATTCTTTAACCTGGTAGGAATCTATTCCTTGAAAAAAGAGCGCCGTATGGCAGCCGTGCTAAAGCCAGGGTAATAATCGGGAGCGCCGGGAGGGGCAAATCTGACCAACATGAGCGCTATAAAAGATCCCACTATTATTATTATTATTATTATTAATTAAAGCAACTGAATCCTCTCTGCGGGAAACTCAATTCAATGAAACAGAATATCACTGATGCAAAATTTGGTCCTCAAAATGACAGAAAATGTCCACTCCTGATCTCATACAAACTGTCTGTTTCAGGGGCGGCTGAGCGACTTCCAAAGTGGGGGGGGGGGGCACCAAGAAAAAAGGGCACCTACAAAGGGAAATCTCAAAGAAAAAAAATGCTTTAAAAAAAAAAAAAAAAAAAAACATTGGTATATACCCTTACATTGTGATTACAATATTTGCTTCACTTTATACACCATACATCATGCTTTTGGGTGTGCCGATGGTCTCAAAATTTATTTGTGAGCGAGCGAAGAAAGATTCTAAGATTTGTGAGGTCGCAGTACGAAAAATACAAAGAGTAATTGTCAGAGTTGAAAATAGGGTACTTCTTACACCCTCAAAAAGAGGCACTCACTAGGGGAAAAAGTCAGTCATGAAAATAGGGAATGGCATTTGTCGACGGAAAATGGGCTCCCATCAGATTTTGATAGGGGCATTTATAAAAGGTGAAACAAGGGAATTTATGAAAAGGGAATAGGTCCCTAATTAGAAACGAAAAGGGGCACGTATCATTGTTAAAAGTAAAATTATCAGAGGTGAAAATAGGCACTTATCGCACCTGAAAAGGGGCACTTATATATATGTGAATGAAAAGGAGTAACTTCTCGTACCTGAAAAGGGTCATTTACCAGAGAAAGGGCACTTATGAGAATGGAAAATGGACACTTATTGCAAAGAAAAATGGGAACTTGTCGAAGGAAAAGGGGCACACTACCAAATAAAAGGGCACTTATCAGAGTTGAAAAGTTGAAGGGGCACTTTAACTAATTAATAGGGGCATTTGTCAAAGTAAAAGGGGCACTATTCCTATGTAAAAGGGACACTTTTCGGGTGCGTGAAAAAGTGGAGTGGGGGGGGGGGGGCACTGTGCCCCCTCTGCCCCCGGAAGGGCCGCCTCTGGTCTGCTTCATAAAAACATAATATAAAACTTATGTTCCAACTTCCAAACAACAAACTTCTATTATCTCCTTCATCGCCCAGATATATTTATCATACCAGATACGCTCTAAAATATAAGCATAATATTCCCCTCTGGCCCTGACCAGAGCACTATGTTTTTTCTTCAAAAACTATAACCAGTCTTAGAAGGTGCATTATTATTGGAAGGGTGTTATAATAAAAACTCCAAACTTAATAACATTCTAACCTTCAAAAACACCTTAACTATCTTATGCCTGTTACGTTTGAATACAATACACAGGCCTACATAAGCTTTTCAATAAAAAACAAAAATAAGTTGTGACATAATAATCTTTCTCCAAAATATCGAACTGGAGTATTCTGTTGTATTGCTTATTTGTGTACATACAAAGAGCTTATTTTCAAGAGGCACTAGATCCATGACTGTGTGTAACTTAAGAAAGAACTCTTTGTTTACCTGATTTTGTTCAGGTGTCTATGGAAAATTGTTATTAAAAGATGCATGTGTTCATAATTTCTCTCGTAATTTAGGTTAATAATTTTGTTCAAGATAAATAGAGGAAATGTATATCATTATCTCCATTTGCTATCAAAGATTTTGCTCCTTTCGGAAAATAGCTCTTCAAACGTTTTACATGACTTGTAGAGATATAAATAAACAAAGAAATGGATGAAATCAATAAACAAAATAGATACTGAGTATAAGTCAGAGAACAAACTGAAAGTTTCGTCTCCTACATGCTGCCATTTGGAGAAAAAAAAACCGTCTTTCTCTTCAATGATACAATATTTTATTACTTTACTTGCATTATGAAGGAGGAAAAAATGCATCATCAACCCCACATAGCTTTAAAAATCACTTCAGATTGAACTAGCCAAAAGTCATGTGATATTCTTGCTCAGATGCTTTCCTTTACCTTTAACAGTTCTTTATATTGAGAAATTGGTTGATAATTTTTTCTTGGCAATAATGACCAAATTAAAAGAGTTAAACAAAATACACGACTGTAACTTCTAGCGCGTTTTGAAAAATGTTTTAGGAAATATCAGGAAATAAAATGAGTGAAAAAACAAACAAATAAAGATACAATGACGTGAATTTTAAAAAGGGTGAACGGAAACAGTATATATAAAACAAGTCATAGCAAATGTATATATTGATAATAATAATAATAAAATAATATAATAATAATAGCCTAATAGTCCACTCCAAATTTATTAAACCGAAACGGAAATTCTTTTTGCCCAATTGATCGTGAGCCCGGCAGCCACTGAGCGCGCCAGATCGACGTTGCTCTATCCCTATGGTCATCTTTCGAGTAATAACCATTAACTACTCTCATCAAGCTCTCATCATTAATTTTTCTCTTCATTTTTTTTCTCGATCAGGGTGAATTATTCGGGGAGGGGGGGGGGGGGAGGATTGTACAGGCCATTCCCCCCACCTAAAATATTTGGAGGGATATATCCCCCCGGGATCGACACCCATGTATACATGTACCATAACTTATATGTTTTGCCGTCATTGTAGAAGATCATCATACGGTATTATCATTCGGTCCTTCTTTAGAAGGAGATAGGTAGAGGTTGTGTTCTACTATCACTCTTCGAATTAATACAAGAAGATAGCTGTGGGTGGCACTAAATTTCCTTAACCTTGTCATTTTTTTTTCCTAACCCCGAGGCGATCGAATGAGATTGGGATGGACACTGCAAGTAATTATTATATACTTGGCCTTCAGGAGCAGGGAGGGGGAGGGGGGGGGGGGGGTATAAACAGGCCCGGATGCATGAATCCAGGGGCAGGGGGCATGCAACCATGCACCCCAGTAACACCCAATGTATAGGGGGTCTGAATTGGGTCGTCAGATTTATACCAATAAATAAATAGATAAAATTGAATAAATAAATGAATAAATGAATACATAAACGAATGGAAAACTAAATAAACAAATGAAAAATAAATGAATGAATGCATACACAAATGATTGAGTAAATAGGTCAATTGGTTAAATAAATAAATGAATAAATAGATGAATAGATAAATAAACAATGCCTCATATTATACAGACATGTGGGTCTATGCATCCTGCATCTCAATGAGTAAACAAATATCTACGGCTAATGTTAATAAATCTCTATTTTTGAGGGGACATTCCTTTGAGAAACAGTGCCCCCCACTTTTTCAAGAACTCCAAAAGTGCCCTTTTACATCAGATAAGTGCCCCTTTTTTCTTTTTAATAATACCCGTCCCATATTTCTACATATGCCTCTTACCACCTCTGACAATTGGCCCTTGTTCAAATCTAAGAGGTGCCCACTTTACTATGACAAGTGCCCTTTTCAGTGTCCCTTCACCGTCTAATAAGTTCCCCATTTCACACGTGCCCCGACCTTTTTTTTAAAGTGCCCCTTCCCCTTCTCCTAAATGCCTCTTTTCACCTCTGAAAATGCCCCTATTAAAATATGATAGGTGCCCTTTTTCCATGCACATAAGTGCCCCCTTTTTTTAATGACTGGTGAGTGCTCCTTTTTAGGTACGAGAAATGCGCCTCTTCACCTCATCTCACAATTTGTTTTAATTTTTGCTTGCACGCAAAGGAATATTCAGACCCAGGGGCGTACGCAGGGGGGGGGGGGGTTTGGGGGTTCAAAACCCCCTTTGGTATTTTAATGTATGTAAACCCCCCTAAAAAAACCTAAAACCCCCCCTTTGTTTTTGTTTTTTTTTTTAAAAAAAGAAAAAAAAAAAAAAAAAATTATCCCCACGGCTGACCTAAATAAGGTGACCTTACCCCCCCCCCCCCCAACGAAGAAAAATGTCAAATTTTGAAATTTTGAGACCAAAAAAAAAAAAAAAGTGTCTGCTTACCCCCCCCCCCCCCCCCCCCCCCCCCCCCCCCCCCCACTGAGCGACTTTTCGGCTGGCTGAGTCGTTGCGATTTTTTTTGACCTCCAAAAAAAAAAAAAAAAAAAGTGTCTGCTTACCCCCCCCCCCCCCCCCCCCCCCCCCCCCCCCCCCCCCCACTGAGCGACTTTTCGGCCGGCGCGATTTTCAAATTTTCGGGAGCAAAATATTAAAAAAAAAAAAAAAAAAAAAAAAAAAAAAAATTATCCCCACGGCTGACCTAAATAAGGTGACCTTACCCCCCCCCCCCCCCCCCAACGAAGAAAAATGTCAAATTTTGAAATTTTGAGACCAAAAAAAAAAAAAAAAAGTGTCTGCTTACCCCCCCCACTGAGCGACTTTTCGGCCGGCGCGATTTTCAAATTTTCGGGAGCAAAATATTTCAAACCCCCCCCTTGAAAAAATCCTGTGTACGCCCCTGTTCAGACCATCACACCCATGTGAGCCAAGCCCATAGCCACGGGGGGGGGGGGGGGGCATTTTTTTTCTCCAAGATCGGTTGAACTGTTTTAGACCCCTCCCCAGGACGTCGATCAATTACATGTATGTGCCCCCCACCCCACCCCAAACATCAAACTCTGGCTACGGCCCCGATGTGAGCACGTGATTATGATGCTGAAGCAGTATTTTGGACCACGTAAAAAGAGAGAAAAATATTGAAATCACCCCTGATAAAGGAATCACAATGTATGATAGCCATGTTTATTTTGCTTTGAGGTTTTCCTTTGTACTTGCCCCCTTTTTTGTTGTTGGAGAAAGTGCCCTTTCTGTTTTTGCTCCTCCTACTTAAGATGCAGCGCCGCCCCTGCTCCATGCATGAAAGACTGGAATAATTCGGACAAGGGGGATTATGTGTAGTAGGCATCATTAATCAGTTAGAGAGGCATGTTTCTAAAAAAATAGCAACGACTCTACTGATGTACATAATACATGTACTGCATTTGGATGCAAATCAGCCACCATGTTTACCTGGTATGGCATTTATCAACTTTTCAAATGTTATGACTATTTGTTCAAATTTTATAAAATTAATTCAGGTGTGTGTCCAGAAAGAAATGAAAGAAAAACGAAAATAATGAATCCATTATTGTGTTCTGCTTGTACTTACGTTATTTTAGAAGTAGACCTTTGTGTAAACTGTTGCACTAATATCATTAAAAAAGATCAATTAATCTACAGTATTAGATTAAAAAAGAAAGAACAAAAGAAGCCGAGTTAGCTCCACAAAATAAAAACTAAAAGATTCGATCATACACAGTATTTTTTGTTTTAATAATGCCCTCCGAATTGAAAGAGTACTAGCGCCATCTAGTGGCAAGGGTTTCTCGTTATATATGGTGGACGTGCAGCTCGCGGCTACAGCTAGACTATAGCGATAACGCTTGTTTAGCGCGCCGTACTTCGCGGCATGCAGCACGTGCAGGACTAGCGCTGAGCTGAGAATTAAAGTACGTAGTATGATCGAGAATCCAGTGACCGGTCTCATTATTGATAGAGCTGGACAAACAAGCAAGTCACAGTGATCAAATCATAATTACTCTTCTCGAAGGGTGAGTATTTACTTGTTGTTATTGAAAAATTGGTTAAATGTTTAATAACTTATAATTCTGGAGAGTGATTTGGTAATGTGTGAGACTAAGATCTAAGTTAGGCCTACTCGATCTCGATGAGTTACTTGCATATTAAAGCTTCTCGATGTGTTGCACGTGGGTAAAAATTATGCCGGTCCGGTAATTGTCATTGACATTCTTTGTCAGAATTTAGACGTCTGTCCATGTTCTTTTGTATGAGGTGGGGCAGTGATTTTTTAATGAATGTGATAAATAAACTTGCTGTGTCACAATTGTAATTATTTTTTGTCATTATTTAGCTATTTCTATGAGTATGATTATGAAAGTGGTCGAACGTAGACCGATTTTTTTTGTCTCTTTCGTTCTTTAGCCTCTGATATGGGTAGGTCTAGGTCGGCTCTCTCTTTAGAGACAGAACAGCCCTATACGCTTTAGTGTTCACGCTTTGTGTAAAGAAACGTTACACCAAACTTGGCAAAACTACCGGCCAAATTCCATATTTCACAGGATGCATATCCGGTGCATCTTATTTTGAAAATTAGGTAAAGGTTTAACTACTTCGCTTCGGTTCCACTTACCAACTTGACTGAAATAATCCGTTTAATAATGGTCCCTTTTTAGGAAATTATGGGTCAAAATCGACATCCATGATAAAAATCTTGCAGCGATAGTTAAAACTCTCGCTGCGCATCTAAATCTCATTCCTTCTAGTCTACGCCGAAGGCAAAATGATTATAACGGAAAAACTGCATGCCATTACGAACTCGTAGCTCGCGCACAGTTTTTCCATCACAATCACAGATCTCTGTAGTACCATCTGTAGACTATAATATGGGGAATGTCAACAAATGTCAGTTTTATTAAAGAAATACCCATATCAGATGGTTATTTACTTATTTCTGTCTAGATGGTAGACTATCTACTAATCTAGACTATTCTTGATCTTATTCTTAAAAATTCTTACATTGTCATTTGAGCAATTGATATTGGAGACTAGACTTCTATCTCCTATTTTTGGTAGACTGTTTTTAATTTCAGAGGCTTTTGTCAAGATTTTGGGTAGCCTGTTTTGGAGACGGTCTCCCCATTAATTTTCCCCTTTGGAATTGGGATGCAATTACCAATTTCTTATATTTACGTTTGTAGGCTAGTCAGAAACAAAACTGATTCACTGGTCATGAAATTAAATCCTCACAATTATAAATACAAAAATTACAAGTAATTCTATGGTATAATCTACATTATCTCAGTATTTTGGATCTCTTGTCTCCTGCTACTATATTAATACTAGAGTAAAGGAGGGAGTTTTCGGCCACTTAAGACAAAATCCTATTTTTTTGGACTCTTTACTTAGATCTAGTCTAATATCATTTCTTGTTCAAATCATGAAGCAATATTATTATTTAAACAAAAAAGAATCCCAGAAAAAAAAATCATGAATTGCCATGACAAAATTCATTTCAATTTTCACTTTGGAGACAGTTTTTAATTGCATGTACAAAGTCAATAGGAAGCACGCGCCCGCACCGTGCGTTTCCCCGCTGATCGATAGCACTAGCGGGCGGAGCAGGTATCCCACGCCGGAGCTCGCCATGCCGAAAACTATCTCTGCGGTGATCGGAAATTGGAATCTGAATTAGACAGAGATATCGTGCGTGCGCCAGGTGTCCGGCTGCATTGATTTAATACATGCGATGAGATACTTTTGAGCTTGCGACTCACACAAAATCGGGCTCTAAATCTGAAAAATACTTGAAATAAAGTTCATTTTGTGATACCCATATTCCTTACAGCTTCGGGTAGCGGGACTGTCGATTACATCGCTAAAATATGATATTTAAGGATATATTTTCCATTGCAAATGTGGTTCTTCAGTGACTCTGGCATGTTATGGTATGTGTGGGATATGTGATATGCTATTAAGCGATGTATTTTAAAGGGATTTTACCATGCATCCAACGGACCGGCCGAAAACTGTCGACGGTCGATTACCCCCTCCTTTACTCTATGTTCAAATTTTTTTATTTTCCTTATTTATTTTTAGCAGTTTTCCTCAAATACTTTTTGTAAAAATGAGGTGGAATTGCAACTTAGTCTAAGGCCTTAAGGCCATGTCTCAGCTCCTGATCTCGCTGATAGAATCATTAACATGAGAAGTCTTACTAGTAAGCTTTTTGTGAAATGGTTAAGGAAGATCAGAGACGTCTCTGCAGTCGGCGAATAAATTTACGACTGTCTTGTTTTTTTTTTTTGAGAAACGGACCCCTAGTCTCTAAAATGGGGGACAGTCTCCACAATTGTTTGTGCACCTCTACTGTCTTACTCTCCCTATTAGACATGATTGGAAAAAAGTGAAAGTTGAAACAGTACAAGGAATTTGAATTGAGGTAGACCTACAGATCAGTTGATTATGCGGTTTACAGAGAAATAAGAGATTGAAATATAAATCTTGGAATGTTTCCTTAAGTTCACCATAAATAAAAAGTCTAGTGCCCATAATACATAAGAAGTGTTTATAAATAAATTATGTTATTTGCCTTGCAACCTTGAAACCGTGACTTTCAGAAGCAAGAAAACAATGTATTTCTATATGATTTGGTTTGGTTAGATGATCATGATGATCATTAGTTTGTTTTTACCCGAGTGCTAAGAAAGCAGGTGGATGCTTGAAAAAGTTCAAAGTAAGCAACCAGGGGACTGACTGCCTTGCCAAAGGGCACTAGCGCATCACCTTGGTTTCGAAACTGGCACCTCCCGCTTACGGGACCACTGCTCCACCACTACGAACACTATTTTTATTCACATGTTGACTAGATCGAGATCTAGTAAGATTTTTAATTTTTAATCACAACTTATGTCGTGCCTTTTCTTGTGGTGGAACGACCAACTGTTACTAAATAATTTTCCTTTGACCTCTTTAATCCAGGATAGAAGTCATAACGAAATCGAAAAATGGCAGCCAAGGCTCGTGTCCAGGATCCAGCTCCTTATTTTGAGGGAACAGCAGTGAGCACCACCGGTGAATTTGTCGACGTCAAATTGTCGGACTACAAAGGTAAGAAAAACATATATTTTTTTTAAAATCTAAAGGCTGAAGGATTAAAGGACGTCTGTACTAGCTCGGCCAGAAGGGATTATACCGCCCAACAAGGTGACCAACAGGTGGCTATGTCATCAACTCACCTCTCAATTAACATAAGAAAAAGAGGATCATGGGTGACCAACAGGCACCGATTGGGGAAGTTTTCTATATAGAGGGAGCAAGTAGCTACAAGTAGTACAGTGGGGCTTTAAGTGATAAGAGGATGGTGATTCTAATACCAGATTGCCATAAAAGAAAGCATATGCTTGTAAATAAGCAACCAAGGAACCAACGGCTTTAAGTCCTCTCCGAGGGATTAGAATAATGACAGATGTGTGTTTGTTTGTTTTGTTTTTATTGTGCTTGAGAATCTAACAGCATTTTTATTTGGATGAGTTATTCATCTAAACCACAAGATGAACTTATTGAGGCAAAAGAGACATTTGTCAATGCATTTAAAATGCTCTCAGAATATATATAATATCAATTTTAGATTAAATGAAGGTGTTTTTGTTTTGTTCTGCATTCTATTTTATTTTATTTATTATATAGAAATACACAGGATTTCTTCTATCCTTTGAATCCCTTGTAATCTTATATGAATATTTAAATTTTTTGTGAATTGGCCAAATGATGATTAATTTAATCTTGCCAATGTTTTAAGCCAAAAATAAGATTCTTGCTCGATTTTTTCAAGTGAGGATGAAACGGTTGTGTATCATTTTGTAAAAGTTTGAATTCTATTACAGTATAGATTCTTTAAAACATGGAAAAGCTCCGTTTTTAAAATGCTTATTTGAAATTTTGAACAAACATATGGTTTCCTGATTCTTAATTTTTATCTGATTTTTATTTTTCCCCCCCGAATTTTGTTTTCTTCACATTTTTACCCTGATTTTGTTTTCTTCCCACTTTTTTTTAATTCTAAAGGGGAGGGGGGGGGGGGGGGGGGGGGGGGGAAGGGGAAGGGGGAGATTTAGGAGAAAAAACCCTCACTATCACCCCTGTATACATGTCGACTGGTTTCTTCAATTTTGCTTCACACCTCTGAAGGTGCCTCTATGTAGTGAGGAATGTTTAGAGTGTACCACTTTCTTGTTTCTACATATCTTCAGTATGAGAAGTGAAAAGTACCTGGTAGTACCCATGTGGCTTTTGACCTTAATCCCACTTTCTGTCTTCATTGATGTAATGGCTGTTTGACATTCATGTAATGTACATGTACATTGTAATGCAAAACATAGTTATTTCTGAAATACAAACTACTTTTGTTGTAGTTTTTTTCGCAGAAAATGTTCATAACATGAAACTGGAGTTGATTAAAGAGAAGAAAGAAAACAAATCTCGTACTTTAAATGACAAAGAACCAGTGAAAAAAATACACGGGGGCTCGGGGCGAATTAGCCCCCGAAATGCCTAAAAGAGCCCCCGAAAATCAGAAAAGAGCCCCAGTAAATTTGCATAGAGTTCAATGCAAAACAAATTTTAGAATGTTATTTTCATGCAGGCAAGGTTGAAAAGTAGCCCCCGAAAAATAAATATTAATTTTTTCCCTGCAAAGAACTACATGTATAAACAGTGGTAATAATACTTTGATTACCTTTTAATGTAGATTTATTAGTAAAAGTAAAAGCTCAAATGAAATTAAAATGAAAGGAAATGTAACATTTACAAAATTTCCTCAATGCAGTCAAAGAATATCTCAAATACATACATAGATGTCAAGAAAAAAGAAAATTGTTATGTCAAAGGTCATAAAGATTAATTGACATGTACTGTAAGAATAATTTGTCAACTTCTCAACTTCTCAACTTCTCATCATGATATTCCAAGAATAATTCAAGCTAGGATCGCAGGAGTCATAGTGGAGATGCAGTGGCATTTGCAATACTCCCAAACTGATGCCATTTTGTTAAAAATCCTTCTGTTTACTGCAAAACATGTAAAGAAATAAAAAACAAACCAACACATGTATACTGAAAGACCATTCTGTACCACCTTAATTTCTTTTTGGGGTCTGCAAATCTGAATTGTTCAAAAGAGCTATACAGGTCGGTGGCATTTACGAAAAGATCTCATATTTTTAACCCAGAGCATAAGTGAAAAGAAAACTTTTTTATTTAAAAGTAATGATAATTTAAAGATAAGAAAAGACTACCGTACAGCCTTTTATTTGTGTCCCAAGAGTGCACCAATTGATGTTGTTTTTCTTTTCTTTTTCTTTTTAGGCAAATACCTTGTATTCTTCTTCTATCCATTGGACTTGTAAGTATAATTTTTCTATGTTCTCTTTTTTTTTAATGAAATGCATAATTTGTAAATGATTTATACAGAGATGCCAACAAGTACGATTAAATCGTATTAAGTACGATAATAAGAGTGAAATACGATCTTAAAATCTTAAAATACGATTTTCATCTCCCCCCCCCCCCAAAAAAAAAACAACAAAAAACAACAACATAAAAACAGCGGAATCGCATAGAAACATGTACAAGTAAACCCCCGCAACCCCAACAAAATCTTTGCTTTACAATTTTCTCATTAAATTTTAATGAAAGAGCAAACATTTTTCTGAAATTTTCAGTGGTACTGTCAATTTTTTCGTGAAAATCTGATTTTCTCTCCAAAATCTGATGTTTTAGGATTTTTTTTGTGTCAAGAGGTTGGCATCTCTGTTTATATGAACAAAATTCTCAATCACTTGCCAGGAGATATTTCATCTATTGTGTTTGAAGGACTATAGGGTGGATTCACCATAAATAGTGCCCCTACCGGCAAGCTGCGACGGGCCATTTTTTCAGCTCGCAGGTCTCTCAACCATTGCAGCAACCGACCCATGGATTGATTCTCACTGAAATCACATCTGGATCGTCAAAGAAAAAGTTTTGAGAACCCCTGTAATAGGTATAAACTGTACATGTACATGTAGCAATGCCACAGATGATAACTTTTGTCGGCTTTTCCCCATAATGCATCACGTGAAATCAACTAAACGCTGGTGTCGCTCAAAGGCGCTTCAGATTGTGAATCTGCCATATTGATATGTGAGTTTTGTTGTTGTTGACAAATGCTGACAAAACTTTGGCAAATGAAAAGTGCACCATGAAGTGAACTTTATTTGGCATTTTGAACTCACCGTCCCGGGCAGTCAGAAAATTGCATGATAAAGTGATATGGGATGGTCGAGATTACCACATGCATGCCTGCCATATTTACCCCACAGAGGGGGTCCCGGGAAATCTTGACTACTGCTGTACGGCAGGCACAGAATTTGTCAAAGTACTGACACTTTGGATTGTAGCTCCCTTGTGACCTGTGTGCTGCTATTTAGTGTGTGTGTGTGTGTGTTTGTGTGTGTGTTTCCTTTTTAGAGATAAAGTGGCTAGATATGAGGTATGATATCCACTCTCAAATAATCTTTTCACATCTTATTCCTGTTATGTTTTTGTAAATTTTCATTTTGTGATTCTAGAGACTCGTGAGAAGAAATGGCATGAATGTTTGTAGCAGTCTAGAAATCACTTTGAATTTAGAAATACAAAATCTGTAGTAGTATTTGATAGGTTATCAGGGAGAGAGAGGCAGACAGAGAGGAGAATTTATAGAGCAACGAGGGAGGGAGAGAGAGAGAGGTAGGGGGGGGGGGTCCAAAATTGATTTATCCATCAATATTGAAGTGAAATATTGAAGAAAAACAACAGCACACACAAAAGAAATGGATAATTCAAATTTATCACATGCCGTGCATGCATTTCAACTATTCAAGCTTTTAATGTATAAGGGGTAGCACATGAACTTGTAATAACTCTCCTTGTGCCGTCTTAATCCTAGACCATCAGTACAAAATGAATGTACAAGTAGCTGTACTTTTTTCTTTCTTTATACTTGTCTCGTACACTTTGATGGGAAATATTGTAGATTAATGGGCTAGAATCTAGCGTAGAATACAACAAATCTGTCAGAGTACCTAAATTATTTCAGGGGTTCAGCTTCATGTAAGAAAATGGCTATGCCGATGTCATATGTACTGTACATTGTGCTAAGAATATCTTGTTTTACACCTCTCTCATACACTTGGGTGGAGAATCTTGTAGATTTATGGGCAAGAGTACAATAAATCTCTAGGAATAACAAAGTTATTTATTAGGGTGAGGTTTCCTTTATTAAGCAGATCTGTGCTACATGTATTACAGATTTGAAACAGTGAAGGCTCCAATGTACATGTACATGTACATGTCGTAGATTACATAAGTTCCTGAGATTGTATGGCAGTTTTTCTATTTTAAACAAAGGGAGGTTATAAACTGCCTATTTTAAACAAAGGAAGGTTATAAACTGCCTGTTCTTTACACATGAATTCCAGACTTGTGATTCATTAATGGTCTCATCGTGATAAAACAAGTGCCAAAAGGTTCAACTCTTTACACAATATAAAGCAAACTGGTGGATTCATTGGAATATACATAGGCATTGGACACCTTTTTATTAAACCAAATAGGGGAGGGAGGGAGAAAGCGCTAGAGAGGAGCTAGAGAGATAGAGAGAGAGAGAGAGAGAGATAGATAGAGAGAGAGAGAGAGAGAGAGAGAGAGAGAGAGAGAGCAGGAGAGAAAGAGATTAAAGGTACTATGTCCCTTTTGCAGCCAACCTCAAATTCTGTAGAACTTTGCAGGAATAATGAATATGTCATGTATGTCCTATCTGTGAAATTTAAACGTTAGCAGTGTCCTCATATTCAAGTTATGCAAGGAAACCCGTTTACTTGCTAGACTTCACTGTCAGACACTATTGAGTGACTGACTGGCTTTTTTTCCTTCTTTGGTAATAACATACATGAAAAGAGTTGTAAAGGGTACATAAGCATTTGTCTACCTCAATAACCCACTTCTTGTGATGGCCAAGATTAAACTGATTGAATCTTTGCGCAGCATAAAACGTATGACCATTCGGAACAATTGTCTGAAAATCAAGACTATTACTTTTGGGCTCTATAGCCCTAAAGTCGATTTGACAACTAATAGTCGTTATTTTCCCACTTGAGGACATTTTCAAGCCCCACCTTTTTTAGGGAAGTTTTAAATTAGTATTATCTTTCAAATGCAGTTGGAATTTAACTTTTTCATTTTTTGGGCCTGCAAATGGGACATAGTACCTTTAAAGGGCCCTGGAGCTTTAATATAGTGACATTTAAAATTTGTTTGCAGGCCTGCTACTACACATGAAACTCTCCTGCATAAAATTTCTCACTCCAGGTACTAACTTTTTGATATGGTGGAACAATATGTTCCTCTTGAAATTATGCTACTTACATACATGGCTTACGTTTTGTGTGTAGTCACAACTGAAATAAGTCATCTTCCTGAGGGGACCATTCTGTAGAAATAATTTGCAGATATTTCATCATTTCATTTGTCATCGATATTGTGCCATTGTTTATTCTAAAGTAGCATGTTTACAATGAGCAGGTATTTCGTACAGAATATTGTGCTGATACTCTAAAACCAAATGTGAAAATGGCATCATATTTCTTACTTCTGAAATGATCAGATTGTAGAAATCGTTTGCAGATATTACGTCCTTTCATGTATCAATGACATCATGCTATTGCTAATTTGTAAGCAGTTTGTTTTTTCATCACACAACAAAATATTGTGGTATCACATTTCAAAGAAATTTTGAACTATCTCATTCTTTCATTTGTCATTGACATTTTGCTAGTGTTCAATATAACTCCAAGTAGTTTGGTTACAAGGTATGTTTTAATGGAATATATTCTGTACATTTTAAATAAACATGGAAATGGCAATATATTTCTGAAATGATCATGGTTTAGAAAATCAGTTGCATGCATCTCACTCTTTTATTTACCATCATTTGTGCTCATTCAAGCAGTTTATTCATAATATATTTTGCATTTCCACATCTTCTAACAGTATGATGTTACTTTGAAGACATTATTAACCAATATATTACAGAAATATGTAAGCATCTTCTAATTTTTTTGTATCCCACTGTGATAACACTCCCCGATTTCAAAATGTAACCTTGGATATAAGTACTGTATGCAGCACTTGACAGAGTGGTAGCAGTGCAACTCTGCGCTACCAGTAATTTGGTTACTGCCGTGCCCCATTCTCTTTCAGCTGCACCTAGAGAGTCCAGTATTGGTGGTATACACCTCCGTTAATAACCCAGGCTATTGGATTAGAGAGGGTATTAAATCCTCTTTGTGAGACGGGTTCAGACCCGCCGTAAGGGATGAAGGAACGCATCATCCTTGGCAATCTTGGGAGAGAAGGTTGTATCTTAGCAACCTTGATTGCATTGAGCGTGTTTGCAGCTTTTTATTATATTATTCAAAATGCATCGGGCCCATGTTTGTTGTTAGGTATTGGTGTCATTCTTTGCAGTTGCCAATTTGACTTTGAAAAGCATGCTTTTAGTTCGTAGGGATGATTGTTGAAGAGCGTTGGAGCTTGATGTGCGTGTGGACCTTCACTGGAACACGTAGATTATGAAGTTGCAAAATATTGGCTGAAGATGTTTGCTTGTACATTATGAAAAGAAATGCAAACATTGAATGACAGAATATCCCCTTTTTGGTTGTGTCGACTACCAAGTGACTGACAGTGGAAGCCAGAAGATTTCACTGCAGTCTTCATCACTGGTAATCAACATCATAAATACCATCAGAATATTATGATCGATATCGTCATCATTGATCATTGACCATGATTATCATCATTGAATAATAATTTTCATCACCACCTCCATCACCACCCGCTTCATCATCACCATTATCATCTTTGTTACCATCATCAATCACCATCATTGTCATCAAAATCATTATCATCACCATCAACATTATCATCAATCACCATCATTATCCTCATAATCACCATGGATGATCATAATCATCACCATGGATGATCATAATCATCACCATGGATGATCATCATCAAACAACAATATCATTATCAACATCATCCTCACCATCATTGCCATCAACATCAAGAACCATCATCATCATCACCATCACTATCATCATCATCATCATCATCACTATCATCATCATCATCATCACTATCATCATCATCATCATCATCATCATCATCATCCTCCTCATCATCATCACCACCTCTATCACTAACACCACCATGCAATAATAATCGCTACTTGCATCACTACCACCATCACCACCACACCCACCACCATATCCACCACCATCACCATCTTCCAAGCGCTTGAATCTGCCAGTGTGAACC